AGCAGGTGATAGCAGGTTCGCACTCAGACATGGTTACTAATTTACACACTTACAGTGAGACCACACATGATTCTGAGTGTTGCTGCTGACGTCAGCTCTGTGCCTTAGAGATTAACAGACAAACAGCACACAAGGACTATAAGACAGTCAGAACTTCTGAGGCTGTTCATGTCTGTTAGCCTGACATCAGTAATATAAACTGTTTGCACACTATGGGACTTCACACATTTCTTTCACAGACTGCTCTGTACATAGTGGTGTTATCATTATCATCACTATCTTCCTCTTTCTGCTGCCACATCATGAGTTAATATATTCTACACAAACTGCAGCCGCTAAAATGATCACAAAGGTGAATCAACACCTCTCTGAAACAGTTTAGCCTAAATAACATACACAATAAACATTATTAACTTCATAAAAACAGGATTTATTGTGGGACAGTTTAGCTAGGAGTATCTAATACACAGGTAACTGAGTTTATATGTCCACCACAGCTGCTCTTTTTGTTATTAATTACAGGATAAATGTATCTAAATTTGCTCCAATTCACTTTGTCCAATATGACCAAGTGAATTGGAGCATTACACTCCAATATAATAAAATCCCTACAAATTCTCACTCCAACCTCATCACATATTGACATTTGGTCATGGACTTTCCACGTCTGAAAGGTACCCTGTGTGCATTGGTTCTTGACGTTCTGGGATGCCGCGTCAAGTTCTACCCGTTACATGCATTGTCTTCTTTCAAAATACACTTCCGTTTTCACAGGACATTTAAAGTTTACATACAGTCTCTTTCAAAATAAAAGCACTACGTCGGTACAACAACGCGGATCCTCCAACAACTAACACAAGTGGTTGGGTTTAGGACAGGGTTTGGCTTTATAATCTTACGGGACACTAACAGTGCCCGCCCCCCGATTGAAAGCTGGTATTATCTTCTACTCTTCCCCTTTGCCTGACTCGGACTTTCGCCACCTTAACTTTAGTTCTTGTCCTGCCGAGTGCCATTCAACTATAATAGCGCCCAGCCGAGTACCACACCAGTGTCTAATGCCGCGAGTCATCCAAGTGAGACTGGGTTGAAAATCCTTGCCTTTCTAACAGACTTTTTCCACAGCAGACCTTTTGACTTGTCACAATATGAAAAGCACTGGCGCAGTTAATGACATTAAGGATGGTTCCATTCAGTCTGAGTATTTTAATAAGATGTGCAGGTGAGCCAGTCCACATTAGCAGGACCAACTAGAATAAATAAATAAATGAAATGTACTGTGCTTTTCTCGCATGTCAAAAAGTCTAGTATAAAAAGGGCCTGGTACTTTGTGTCTGTTCTGCTGTCTCTGGAAACTGTATTGTTTAAAATTATGCCTCTCTGCTGCTGTGACTTAATTTCCCTGCAGAGCACCAACCAATTTTTTTTTATTTTAAAGGAATACTCCACCCACAAAACATCCACTTGTATTTCAATAACCAGTGGCGTAAGGTAGTTACAACAAGCCCCAGTGCATGCTATTACGACGGGCCTTAAGGCATGCTAGTTACTTGTTGTGCACCTAAACTAGCTACTGTATAATCTTATCGTCATATGATCAAATAGAGAGCTGAAAGTGGATAATGCCAACTGACATATCAACCAAAAATCATCACTGTTGCCAAAACCACCACCATGTCCTGCACCCATGACGTAGCTCTTGTCAGGGATGCATCAGGATGCATTAGTGTTTACACTACATAAGATATGTGGTCAAATGCATCCCAGACCACCTTGACAAGTGATTTAAATGAATCATAATGCATCTTGGTGGTCGTTCAGACCTGTATTTAGCGCTGTCCACTTGTGATTGGCTCACCCAAAACTCATGTTAGTACTGGGTCTAAACAGACTCTTAGTTACATGCTGCATTACCTCATCTGACCTATGAAAACTCACACAGGTGTTTCCAGTTGTGCTGATTGATTATACCTTGTTAGTGTGAGGCTGGTTCATTAGCAAAGCTCCTTTCAACAACATGGCAATGCAAAGTGCTTTACATTAGACAGAAAAAAGCATTGATGCAAGATGTCAAGGAAACACAAGGCAAAATGAAGACACATATGAAAAGTAAAATAAAGTAGAAAATAAAAAAACTAAGCTAAAATTGATCAAAACAAATTAGAAAAAAAGAGAATAAAAATTACATTCCAGTTACAGTAAAGTGCAACATGTGAATAAATAGTTCAAATTCTTTTTTTAATTAATTTTTAAGGCCAAAAAAAAGAAAAAAAAGCTTTGAGCCTCAATTTTAAAGGAACTGTGCATTAGAGAATCAGAGCAGACCTCAACAGCCAAGCAAAAGGTTTGCTGATGTCACCGAACTCCTTACGTCAGTCAAAGGTGTAATATATCCTCTCCCAAAAGATGCAAATATGGGCAGTGAAAGGGAAAATTTGGTTCCAGTTGTCTAGCTGATATATTTTAAATATTAAACTCACCATACTCGTATATGAGACAGAAATTCATATAAAACAAATAAAACAAGTTATATGTGATTGTTTGCAATTATGGAATTATTTTAGCAATAAATGAATTATTGTATAAATAAATACAAGAATGAAAAAATAAATGTGGAAATAAATAAATAAGTAACTGTATAAATAAATACAGGAATAACTAAATAAATAAATAAATATGGATATAAGTAGATAAATAGAATAATAAATAAATACTGAAACAAATACAGAAATAAAAAATGGATAAATAAAATAAATAAATGTTTATAATATGGAAATAAATACATAAATGCATAAATAAATAAATAAAAAAACAAAAGTTGATGATCACACAGGACATTATTAAATAAATATCTGAATTTTTTCTACATTGTACAGCTACATTCATTCAATTATATATTTCTGTGTATGTATGTCAGTGAGGTAGGAGGTCCTACCTCTGCATTCACTAATTGAATTAATTCATTTATTTATTTTCATATTCATTTCAGCATTTCATTGTAGTTATTTATACATTATTTTTGTCCTCCATAAACAATGTTTATATGATTTAAAAAGTGTCTATCATTTAATATTTAGATTTTACACTTTTGTTTGTTTGTTTGTTTTACATATAAACAGGTTGTCTATCCACCTTATTTTCAAACACGGAAGTAAATAGTGATCAACTTCGGCGTTTTTGTGCGTGACTTCCGGTCAGCTGCTTTCCCTTACCGGAGCTAACGGTGCAAGCTAATTTTTTTTCAATTTTCAATTGTTTATGTTAGTCAATCAGTTAGTTAGTTAGTTAGTTTGTCTGTGTATTTTATATAGATAACTGTGCCCACGTTTCCGTTATCCGGTAATTGCCGGTAAAAATAATTCCCTCCAAACACGAATAAATCGCACGTCAATCAAAAACTATGAACCAAAAAAAGCACAATCTATCCCGAGTGAGACAAACTGCTTGATCCCCGTCTCCAGTGTACCAGCAGAGAACCATGTAGAACTGAATCAGCGAAAAAACACACCGGGCTACACAGCCTCTCTACCTGAGCAGCTGAAGCTGCGGCTCGCACCCTCGACACACAGACGGTGCTTCTGCATACCAGCCAAACGTGTGCAACTGTGAGAAATAAATATGTGAGGTGTACGCTGCTTTTCTATCTTTTTTTCCTTTTCTTTCTTTCTTTCTGTCAGCAGCATACACTCCTAACACAGGACAGGTTGTTTTTATTGACTGAGTTGATTATTGATGCGCTGATCGGCTCTGATAGCACCCAAATCAGCATGTACGCATCAACCATCCAGCCGTTACAACATGATTGAGCTAGCAAAGCAGTTTTGTGTTGCTATGTGTGGTATTTATTCAGTTTTGGGAAATCACGATGTCTAGAAAGCATCAGTGGCTGCAGCTGACAGGGACAGCTAACACTAGCAGCAAAGCTAACATCAGGATCGTCATCCGTTAAAAGCCTCCCGTTGTCGGATACGACATGAAACTACTCCAGTTAGCTCAATCATGTTGTAACTAAGACATCCGCTGGAAAAAATATTTTTTTCATGGACCGTTTATTGAGTCATTACAGACACCGCTAACGGCTAACGGCTAACGGTTAGCACAGCTAATCTACGATAACCATGTTATTAATTACTAAATGTGCACACAGAAATAGTAATGTTTGTTCAGTCATTGTGTTTATAGACTTTACAAACATCAGATTAGTCTAAATGGTGATATAGTGACATGAAAAATGTGATATATATATATATATATATAGCTAAACACAACAAGGCGATTCCCATTTACACAGTGGTCAAGAGTGCTGGATCGTAAGTGTCGCACAAACTGGAAGCTGGCTGTGTTCTGTTTTGCCTCCGTGTTTCCGTGAAAAATAAGGTGAATAAGTAGGCTACATCTAACTTGTTTTGCGAGTAGCCTATTTCTGTCTCATGTGAGGAAAATAAGGTACATGTGAATAAGGGGGCTACATATTTACAATATGTCAGCTATAAAATTGTAACTGAATTCTTACATTCGCACCCCGTACATCAAAACTACATCATGTTTTTTTTTAATTTTTATTGTTTTTTTTTTTTTTTAGTCTTAGTGACTCAAAGTGCAACACAGGCAGCATTTACCCATTCACACACTGTGACAGATGCTGCCATGCAACAAACTGCCTGCTCATCAGGAGCTGTAACCATCCACAATGACTCACACACCAGTGGGACCAATTAGGGATTCAGTGTTTTTCCCAAGGACACTTTGACATGTAGACTGCAGGGGCCAGGGGCCGAACCACCAACCTTAGTGGACGACTGCTCTGCCTCCTGAGCCACAGCCAGCACCAATTATGTCCTGCACATGCCCACAACGTCCTGAGGACGGAGCTAATCAGCCTTATAGGGGGATCACCTGTGTGTAGCTCTACAAGAGTGTGTAGGTGTGAGAAATTAAAAGAAGCAACACATATATTGTGGTCAGAACCTGCAGAGCAGCACCGCAGATATGCAGCAGAATTAGAAAGGCAAACCTCAGTCTTCTTCATGTAGTTTAATCTACTTCCTGATTTCACAGGAAATTCAGCCAATATCTGCAGAGGCGTACGGGCAGAGTCACATGTTCAAGTGGTTACTAAAAGACTGACCTCTGAGCACTTCCACACACTGTATGATGCTCCCATGTGTGAAAGAGACAGAGAAGGTAAGAACCTTACATGATAGTGAATGTTTTGAAATACGTTTATGAGCTGTGTATCATAGCAACTGTATAGTAAATCAATGAAAACAAATATGCTACTGTAAAATCTGGAGCTATTATGGTAAATACATATTCCTCCCTTCTGTTCTTCCTTTTAAGAGTTAAATAGTTGAGCAGCTACATCAGCTTTGTTTAGGACAAACACATGTCCTCTTACAGCCGCCAATGGGTGGTTGTGCAACTAATTAGAAAACAGTAAGAAGCTCTCAACCACAAGAAAAGAGAAAGCATGTTGGTTTACTGTCAGCAGGCAATGCTTTCTGGTTCCTTTCATGCATATAAGTCTCAATAAATCGCTTTTTGTACTCAGGCTTTGGCCCGTACGCCTGCTCGCCTGCCTGTCTGTCTCCTGGCGGTTCCCCTCGTTGTTGATGTGTGAGACCACAGTGGGAGACGGCAGCAACAATCTGACATGCCCGATGAGAGCATGGAATTTATAAACAAATGGGGTTTTGTAATGTATGCTTTGATGAGCACATGCCCAGGATGAGTACCAGTAAATAGGTATATCTCTGTATGAGAAAGAAGTTACTGAAACAGAAGTTGGGATTGACTTTTACATGTGTGAGGCAGAAGTCTCGAGGAGCCACAAAGGTAGAGTTCACTTTCTTGATTAACAAAAAAAGTCACTTTCATATGGAAGCAATACTTAGTCCACTACCATCGTCTCCACTTCCCCTTCTGCCTCATCACAGTTTAATGGATGGTCTGTTTATCGCTCAGCGTAAACACAGAGTGAGACTGAACAGCTCAGGCAGGACTGTATACTATACGTGTTTCTGTTTGTGTGTATGCACATTAAGCTGGATGTGTGTGTGTGTGTGTGTGTGTGTATACATACATATATATGTGTATGAAGAAGACCAAGTTGTACAGAGAGAGATAAAGAACAGACTAAAGGCTCTAAATTTATGAACATCACAAACACCACAGATGACTAAGCGTACACAGAGCAGAGTATGCACTTTGCATACCTCGAGCTGCAGCTTTAATGTGTAAAATACATCAGTGTGAAGCTAAACAGAGTCAAACATGTCCGCTTTGGTCGTCATATATTTAGTGTTACCCAGATTTTCACTTCTGAGAATGAATTCACTCTTTCTCAGATGACTCATTCAGCTACATATATCACAGTGTGATCCAACTTTGTCTTTACAAGTATTAACAAAAATGAGCTGAGAATCATATTATATAAAAGCAGCTATAATCAATATTTTTGTATTAACAGGCTGTTCTCATGCACTGTTTGTATCCATACTTACAAAAAATAGGTGATAGTAATAACTTGTATATAACCCATGTAATCGTAATGACTGCAATCATGTGATGAACGCGCTGAGGGGAATGAAGACGGAAGTAGTATAAAGAGCGAAAGTCTGCATAAAGATGCAGGTTGGGATGGTGGATGGGTCAAACAAACACACAACTTTCCCCAGGAGACCGGTGTTTGTGTCCCGTGTAAAACCAAATGAACTTTGAGTTATTTTAAGGTACGTAATCACATTATGTTAATTACATAGCTTTACATTAAGTACGTAACGTGATCATGCCCACCCATGTTTCTTTTCTTTAATCTAACCCAACTTTACTTTCCAAAACCTAACATGAACCTATGTAACTTCACATTAAGTATGTAATGTAACTACACCCAGCCATGTTGATTTTCCAAAACCTACCCAAGGGAACTTTATGTAAAGTGCATAATGTGACGATGCCCATGTGCGTTTTTGTAAGATATCATATAATCACTGTATGAGGAAACATTGATGGATCACCTGACTACTTGTATTTGAAAGGAGTTGCTCAAAGCAACAAACCCACTGAGAATTATCACCTAAAGGTCAGTTTATACTTAAGCAATATCACACGAGAGGGAGTGATGTTGTACTGTGATATCGTCACGGCTGTGATTTGGCCATAGGCACGAGGCCGCAGGCCGACAGCTCGAGTGTGATATTGCTTTTATACAACAGTTCAACAGTTAAATAAGCAAGGCTGATTAAGAAATGTTGAAAAATGAGGACAAAATAGATAATTTAAGCATTTTATTTGTCTTCCGCCAACAAAAATAGTTCCCTCAGGACTCCACTGTCACCGTTGCTATGTAACGCAGACATGGTGCGTCGGGCACTTACTCTTTATACACATTTATCTGCACGTTTCCATTAATTGTGCAGCCGGTGAAATAAGTCTCTGGTGACTGCATGGTGGACTGTTGCTTCACAGGCACAGCCAACTCTGCCTTCTGATCTGACAGTATGTTGCTTTTCTCCAAGTCATTGAGCTCCACTGATGAAACACTGACAAACCTGGATGTGTGCTCAGATGGATTCAGCTTCTCCTCTCCCTCATCTTCCTCTGATGACCATTCATAGTTCAATTCAAAACTTATTTTAGGAAATAAATCCATATTTTTGGCTGTTTGACAGTGGATGAATTAATTAGCCTACAACGCAACTGCTGACCTAACTGACACTAACCGTCAGTTTTGATTTGATTGTTGATTGCAATCAGCTGTGAGGCGGAGTGATACATACACAGTGAAATAACCGTGATGTTGTACTCCAATATCGTCACGGTTTTACTGTCTCTCGACCAATCAGATTGCAGGGCCGGAACTAACTGTTGTATAATTGTGCATTGTATCCACAGGATGTGTATCCTAACCCGTACAATGTAGCCCAACATGCACTTCCCCAGAAATGTAACTACACGTCATGCTGGTAGCATCGCATTTCCTCTTATATATTTCTGGTTGCTCCTTCTTCTCCATGAACATTGAGGACAGTACTAATTATATCGTAGTAGAGTAGCAAAGTAACTGTTGCCAAACATTTATAAGCTCCAACTCCAACACAATTTGCTTAATTTCACTTGCCATTGCCTGAAGTGCAGTATGATTTATAGTTGTACATTGTGCCCTACCCAAGAGGCCTACGCCTTTGTCTTTGCCATTGTGAGCTGTGTGATTACACCGCCAAAATGCTAGTTGACGGTTGGGTTTCTATGCCACTGTGTTGAGTTTCTTTGTCTACTTGTAACAATGGGGACTGAAACTGAGCAGATGTTGAAATTGGAGCAAAAAATTGAGCACAGTTAAAGTACTACTACTACTTTACAGTACCTTTGTCATTATTTTTTTAACCCTGTTTTTTGCTAGCAAAAAGTAGCATTAGCATTATCACAGTTAACAATAGACTGTAAATACATCTTGCTAACCAAGCTAGCAGCTAGCGTTGGGGTTAGTTCCATCTCCTCATCACTTGTGGCTCCAAAAGTCCAAGAAGGCGACCGTCAAAATGCCAAACTTGAGGCTTTAAAACCATGGATGTAGTAATAGACCAGGGGTCGGTTGCACAAATCACTTTGAGTTAAGATTCTCCTTAAAGTCCAAGTTAAAGTTTTCTTAAAATAAAATCAGTTGCACAAAACAGGTCTTCTGCAAACGAACAAACAGTTCCCATGACAACTGTAGAATTTGATGGCTGTAAAATATTTTTCGATGCAGTAAATGCTTTATTGTTTTCCCTTAAACTAAGGAAACCCTCTTGGGGACTCTGTGTAACACTCTTGTGTAAGTACCTCAGCTAAGGAGAAATTAAGCCTTTAGTGTCATACTTACTGAGAAGACTTAAAGGGATAGTGCACCCAAAAATGAAAATTCAGCCATTATCTACTCACCCATATGCCGATGGAGGCCCTGGTGAAGTTTTAGAGTGCTCACATCCCTTGCGGAGATCGGCGGGTGGAGCGACTATAAAAATTTGTTTCGACAAATGTCATATGAACTTTGTTTTTAGCCTCACTGTAGCCTGTAGCTCTGACTGCTTCTCTGTGCTCCGTGCTCATGCGTGTGCGCAACCAGCGAAAGCACGAGCTTTGCTCACCCGTGTTTACATCACGTAACACGTGCACCGCAGGGGGAGACAACATAACCACAGAGCAAAAAGATAATTTTCACTTCGGTCTTTTAGCAAAGGACAGCCCAACATGTCTGAAGACTCTGAAATTGAGGAGGAACAGCATTTCTTTGTTGAGCCGTATACGGACGGACGGAACTCAGGCTACTGGATGAAGCAGCCACCGCAGCTCATGAGCCTAACCCTCAGCCAGCCGCAGAATACCGGAGTCGAGCACTGGAAATCTGGTGGTGTAGTTGTTTCAAATGCAAAGCAATGCCAACGGATGAGAGTCTTTGCTGCTCAAACTGGGAATTGGCGATGCCTGCACGTGAGAATCTGGACATCAGTACTGACGAGACTGCACAACTTTTTATGTCACGGCTGCAGCACAGCAGTATGGAGATACTTTGTGGATTCAATTATGTGTTCTTGGACGTTAGTCTGGGGCGCCGTCTGCCATTAGGTGTGCTAGCCGCTGCCCCCGCTGATCTCTGCAAGGGATGTGAGGACTCGGCCGAATTTTCATTTTTGGGTGCACTATCCCTTTAAGGTGTTTTGTTCAACCAGCTGCTGGATACAGTGTTGGCCGTGGGCCCTGGTTCATTCTAATGAAAGTTGCTCAGTGGCATAAAGCAAAAAAAGCTCTATTTTTGCGGAATGAAATGACCCAGATGATCAGCATTGCTTCTGCATCATTGGGCCCATAGAGCAAGCGCACTAGAGACTTAGGGCCGCTAGTGTGCTTGCTCTATGGGCAAGCGCACTAGAGACTTAGGGCCGCTAGTCTCGCCACCAGACAATCAGAGATCTCCGCCTTCTGATAGTCTGGGGACACTCCTTTCTAAAGTGTGTTTAACACACCGGCGAAAACGGCCGGCAACAAAGCAACGCCTCTTGCATTTTTGAAAAGGACACGCCTTCTCGGAAATGTGCGCTCCTCCTTTTCTCGTCCGCAAGGAAACAAACACACGGAGAGCTTGAAAATGGATGCCGAGAGATTTAACTCCGTTTTATCAAACGTGTGCTCATCCGTGAAGAAAATATTTTCTCCAGCGGATGTCTTAGTTACAACATTATTGAGCTAACTGGAGTAGTTTCATGACGTATCCGACAACGGGAGGCTTTTAACAGATGACGTCCTGATGTTAGCTTTGCTGCTGTTAGCTGTCCCTGTCAGCTGCAGCCACTGATGCTTTCTAGACATCATGATTTCCTAAAACTGAATAAATACCACACATAGCAACACAAAACTGCTTTGCTAGCTCAATCATGTTGTAACTAAGATATCCGCTGGAAAAGATATTTTTTTTCACGGACCGTTTAATGAGTTATTACCTATTACAGACACCGCTAACGGCTAACAGGGCTAACAGCTAACGGTTAGCCCTGCTAAACGTGCACACAGAAATAGTAATGTTTGTTCAATCATTGTGTTTATAGACTTTACAAACATCAGATTAGTCCATACAGTGATACAGTGATGTGAAAAATGTGATATATAGGCTATATATATATATATATATATATATATAGCAAAAAGCTCTGCTGGTTTTCTACCCGGAAGTATTTGTAAACAACAAGGCGATTCCCTCTATAGTCCGGCCGGACGGATGAGTCATGGCCTTGTAAAAAAATTATGTTTGTTTCTTTTAGTTGGCGAGAATGTGTCGCCGCAAACGCGACAAACATCCACTGAACTTTGACGTCGTTTTCTGCGAGCACGGCTGAGCCATTTTGTACCACTACACGTGTTTCTAGTGGGACTATGTTTACAAGCACAAGAGTTCAGCGAGCCACCGAAGGACCGCCCTGCAGATTTACTATTGGTTCTGCAACATAGAGAGTTTTTTTAAACTCTGAAATTGTATCCGCCCATCTAAACACAAAATCAGGGAGAAAGTCATCAGTCTTTAGTTAAGCAAAGCGTCTAAAGACTGACTTGTGAGTCTATAGGGCCGCCGACCATGGCCAAGCGCGCTTGAGCACAGCTGACTTCCGGTTAAGCACTCTGCAAACTTGAGTGGGGATAAAACAATTATTCTTGCAGCTCCTTAAGAGTTTCCAAATGTTATCAGATTGGATAACATTACATGGATTAAATACATAATACATAACATTACATGGATTAAATCTTTATAGTGGGACCAGTCATTTCACAGGGGTTGTAACATCCAAAAAATGTATCCACTAATTTACAGACGTCTCTCTCTTTAAATCTAAGTCAATGGGAAAAAGTCTTTTTAGGCCCAATGGCATCACATGACGGACCCCAGAATGTACAGTACCACTGTTTGGACACTACAAAAATTGGCTTCAAAGCCCGGCGCACTTCCTGGGGGCCTGTTCAAAACAGGGGTCCGCCAACCAATGGGTAAAATTACTGTGGCCACTTAATGTGTTATTTTTACACATTTTGTGGTTTAAAGCTGCTATTATCAAATGACTAATATTATGTATGTGAAAGCCAACATAATTATCATCTAACTCTATGGTCTCCTCCAACTCCACAAGGCATTTAGCATCTTTTAGCTAATTATTTTGGCTTTATGTTACTGGTTTCATAGTGTCGCGCTCAGCATGCAGCAGTGGGGCTTTTTTTATTGCCACAAAAGTTCTTACACACCCCCTGTACACTACCTGCCCAGCCCCAAATGGCAGACAGACAGTTCGCTACTAGCTGCTGAACATAGTGGAACATTTAACCACTAAAAACAGAGCTAAAAGGAGCGTGAATTGGCTTTAGATTTGCCAGATGTTCAGAATCATGACTCCAAATGAATGCTAATGTTGCCTCATGTCAGCTGGATGTGTAAATGAACACGTGTTTGCTACATCAAGTTAAAATTTGTGACAAAATATCTGCGTTGTGTTCACAGCTTGTTTTCCAAGAGGCCAAAAAACAAGTTGATGCAGGTTTAACAAGAAATGAGGATTGGCTCCACAGACTGTAATGCACATAAAACTGACAGCCTAAATATGTATTTAGTTATAGTTAGGGTCACAAGGTGTTGGAGTCTTTTCCAGCATCCACTGAGCAGAAGGCAAACTTAGCGCTAAGTTATGTGAAGTGGACCGCAGTTAATGGATGACAGAATTAAGCTGTGCAATGTAACATAACAACCTAATGAGACACAGAAAAAAAAAGAAAGAAAACAAAGCATCGACAATACAAAAATGTGCTTTATAAAAAGTATAATCAAGGCCAGGGGCGACACGTTTTTAGCACATGAAGAAAGTATGCATGAACATGTGTCATAGTCATATAAACATGGTTACAGTCAAGTTATATCTCGTTGTGTCATACAAACAGAAAACGCACTATGTGTGTATGGATTATATGCATAACATGCACAGAAATAAGGTATGAAAATTAAAAACACTCCCAAAAAATACCATATTATCAGTTTAAATGAGTTTATATATCGGCGTGGCAGTCTGCTGTCCATGTGTACTTCCAGGTATTTTGCTTGTTGCAGGACGCCAACATGTCCATTGTCTCCATGCTACTGTGTGCATCCCGCATCAGAGCAGTTATCAGAAAACCCCTTAAATTTTAAGTGATAACTTAAAATGCAAATAAAACGCAGGTGACAGGTCTTGCTATATGATATGTAAATCATACCACCGATACCGCCTCCACATTTGCTATTCCCTCTGCTCATATGTTCTGCTTCTTGTTCCTATGCACGCTGCTGTGGCTTTACATTGTATTAATATTTATTGTTCTTGATAACCGCACATAGCAACAGTCTCAAAGAGTTGGCAAGAGCTACAGAGCTCATTCTTCAGTTTGCTTTTTAAGCCGCTCCACATGCGAGATGCATTTTCGACCCTAAAGCTGGCCATTTGCCGCCTCCATATGGACAAACCCCGACGCTCGGTTCCACAAAATGTTGGCTGATGAAAAGCTTTGATCACAGTGAAGCCCCCTTTTTTTGGGAGTGATCAGTTATTTGTGAAAAGAATGTGATGTACAATGACTTGAGCTGTCACCCGTAATTGAGAGATCATTTAATGATTAGCCTCATGACTCCTGCAGAAGATATTTTAAATTGTCCAAAGTGTATATTTGAAAAATGAGACAGAGGAGTAAACAAGTTTCAAAGTTGCAGTTTATTCTAATGTGGATCCAATTGATGCAGGTTTTAAATCGTGTTCAGTGAGGAATGTTTGCTTTCTCCACCTGTGACATATTTACCAGAGTTAGGTGACTTAAGCTCTGCTGTCTCCAACCACCTCACCTCACAGTTTACTCAATGTGTCGTTCATCGGTTTGCTGGATGGCGATAAAAACAACTTGTTCGACTTCACAGCCAGAGCAACATGGAAACTATTTTAACCTGCCACACACACTGCTGTGACGCTCTGCAGAGACGTTGCATTGCAGTGCTTGTGACTTTAAAGATATTTAGAAACAAAAGATCACATTTCTGTGGATTAATCAAGCTCTTGTCACATGTTGTTTATCTGTTTTTATAGTTGTGACAGACATGTCCAAACTGTGTATGTGTGCATGCATGAGTTCAAATGTGTTTGTACCGCCGTACCACAAAAATGCTGTTATGCAGGAGCTGGTGGCCTTTCAATGGAGTTCCCAACTTTTCCGCTTGCTGCATGACAAACTAGTTAAAGGGGTAGTTCACACCAAAATCAAAAATACATATTTTTCCTCTTACCTGTAGTGCTATTTATCAGTCTAGATTGTTGTGGTGTGAGTTGCTGCGTGTTGGAGATATCAGCTGTAGAGATGTCTGCCTTCTCTCCAATATAATGGAACTAGATGGCACTCAGCTTGTGGTGCTCAAAGCTCCAAAAATTACATTTGAAAAACTCAACATCAATGTCTCTTTCCAGAAATCATGACCTGGTTACTCAAGATAATCCACAGACCTTGTTGTTAACAGTTTAATGTAGGAAATATTTTCTTTCTACCAAACTACACCTGCCAACTGTATCACTGCAGTTCAGATGAGCTGTAATGTTAGCTAGCTCAGTGGTGTTAGGTGAGATAGCAGTAGATGGATGTCTCCTTTTGTGCAGTGATACGGTGAGTGAGACATCTAGTTCCATTATATTGGAGAGAAGGCAGACATCTCTATGGCTGATATCTCCAACACGCAGCAACTCACACCAAAACAATCCAGACAGCCGTCCTTTCACGTCAGCATGATACACAGCCAGTCACCATTATTGTTTAAGGCACCTAGCGGTGTCAGGAGGAAACTCGGCTGGACAACAATCAAAGTTAACACCGCGGAAGTCTAAGTGGGGTGGGCAGGAGGGGTGGCGGATGGGTCCAACAACCACTGACTTTCATCCAGGAGGCTGGTGTTCACTTCCTGTAAGATTGTAAAGCAAAACCCTGTTCTTTTGTCCTAAACCCAACTATGTGCGCTCTTGTTGCCTAAACCCAGTCACATGCATGTGCTGGCAAGACATAACCACATGTATTTGTTGTTGAAGGGGAAAAAAAGTTAATTCACGCTGTTGTACCGACATAGTGCGTTTATTTTGAACGAGGCTGCATGCAAACTGTAAATTTCCTGTGAAAACAGAAGCATATCTTGAAAGAAGACAGTGCATGTAACAGGCAGAACTTAACATGGTGTCCCAGAGCGTGAACAACCAACGCACCCAGGGTACCTTGCACATCATATCTCGACATGGAAAGCCTATGACGAAACGTCTATGTAACGAGGTCGGAGTGAGGATGTGTTGGTATTTTTGATTCGGGGGTGAACTGTCCCTTTAAGAACTGGTGCTGGTAGAAACCGACTTTAAACTGAACTGAAAATTTTCAGTTCCTGATGCAACTGCTGTCTCCTCTCCTTCCTACATTTTAAATTTAAACCCTTTACTGCTGCTGAAATCTAAAATGTTATGTTCTGTCTTCTCAGATGGACGACATAGATGCCATGTTCAGTCACCTGCTCGGAGAGATGGATCATCTCTCTCAGGTGAGTTGTGCAGCAGTGCTGTGACCTAAATGCAAACTTCATGTTTTTACAAAGCTTCCTAGAACCAAGTTGCTCCTTCTTAGAACCATGACGTATTCTAAGAATTTCCTCTTACAGTTAAGACTTGATCCTGGTGAAGATAAAGGTTATTCACAAAGCACTGTGGCCCCTCAAAGAGGTCCTGAAACTGTGAGGAGGAGTTTTAAGAGGCTAAAGAGTTACTTAAGAAGAGGGGATAAACACATCCAGGCAGGAGAAATAATGCTGAATGACAATTAGATAATGAAACACTACAGATTAGATCCTGTAGAGATGTTTGTGGTTGATTCCATTAGAGATGCGCACACATCTCCCACCCAATGCAACATCACCAGAAACCAAAGTGATCACAACACTAAGATATTTGGCAAATATAAAAATGCAGCGGTGATAACTTGGGTCTGCCTCAGCCTTCTATCAGCAGAGTGATCACGCTAACAATTAGTGCTTTCACGGTCTCATACTGTGACGCAGGTTATTTCCTCTGGGTTTCCACACCCTGCAGGCTCACAAAAGGACAACCAATCACATCTGTTAAAAGAATTTGTCATACATAGCAACAGGGTCAAACACACCACCTCACTAAGGTAGAAGTTCCCGTCCCTTTCATGCTCAGAGTTGCTTTGAGAGTTTCCCTAAATAGCCTCAAAGCTAGGGGGCGCCCACTAGCTCATCTAGAGGAGTGGACACCTCATGTACAAAGGCCTTGTCCTTGCTGCAGTGGGCGTAGGCTTGATTCCAACCCATGGCCCTTTGTTGCATATCATCCCCTGTCTTTCTCCCTCCTTTCACTGTGGATCTGTCCTGTCGAATAAAGGCAGCAGAGATTTTGAGAATCAAACACTTAATTTCCTGCATTCTTGTGATTTTATAATGCACCAATTTGTGCCTTTTCTGCATCAATTTATGGTCTAATTGTCTTTAATCTCTGGCAAAATTAAAGTCCCCTGCTACTTTCAGGTTTTTTTTTGACATGATAACAGGCATCAGGTCTCTTCTGTAGTAGAATTAACATCATATTATACATGCATACTCTTATCATGATGGCCCACCAGCAGATGGAGACATGAAATACAATAGTTTTCAATGTATTTAACGTTTATTCATTGTGCAAATTAAAAAAAATATGTTGGCCGATTCTGACCAGCCATTTTAAAGCCGATACCGGCTGATACCGATGACGTATCGATACTATCGTGCATACCTACGGTTAGCTGTATCATTATTCCAAGTGCACGTACATTCTTGTGAGGCACAGTGGACCGTTTTGTAACTTTTGGAGCAAGAGACTCTGAAACAAACATAGTGAATAAATATATACATTTGCCAGTAATCATTATTTCAATAGCTTAGTATTGTATGCAACATAAAAGAGTATGTTTATACAGGGCACATTAGGCTGCCCTGCACGTTATTGTAGGCCCAGTTTCATATGCAACATAATTTTATACAGCTAAGATGTCCTTGGCCTGAAAAATGTTGAAGACCCCTGATCTAGAGGAAGGGTGAGGGGATTGTCAAAGTCATGAGAAACATAAATGTCTGCTTGAAATTTCATTGCAATCCAATCATCCAGAAGTTGTTGAGATATTTCAATCCAGGCCAAACTGCAGCTCTGTCCCATAGAAATTACATTTATATACAACTAATTTGAAACAGCATACACGTTTTGAGGGAGATGTAATGCCAAGCAAATTATGTTTTCTATTAACATAATGAGAAGATGTTAGTTATTGCAGCAAAATGTTCACCTGCAATGTATTTCAGGCAATCTTGCAATACAATACAGTATACACTCATAGCGACTACAGCATGTTTTTTAATTACTTTTTTTGTTGGCTTCCTAACCTTAACCAAAGTGCATTTGTTGCCGAAACCTAAGTTAGGAGTCTGAATATGTACCCAGGGTCTGGTGTCAAGGTCCTGCACTTTAAAAGCCAGTCATTTTCCTTGTGAAACCTGTGTGGTACAGATTGTAGTGTTTCATTACCTGAAAGAAAGGTTTGTCTCTGAACATAAAGCAGGAAGTGTTTACCTTGTGTGATGAAGAAAACAGTTCAGTATCATACAAACGAAATTGCTAGGAGACAGTTTTGGCCGTTGCAGTGCTTATCGGACATCCCATAATGTGGCTGTAAATTTCATCTGGCATTGTGAGAAACATCAGTGTGATATCAAACATCTCTGGTCGCATTCTTTCTGAAAACACGACCAGATGAGCTGAGATTCTTACACTCTGGCCGACCGTTCCCTTCAGTGCTTTTGAAGTAGGAACAGGTTACAAGAAGTGAATCAGACAAATCGCCTGATGTTTACCTCCCTAATCTGGACATTATCTGATTACACATGGCAGTCTTTGTTTTGAAACTGAAGCATCAGACAGAAAAATGTAAGGCGACGCTGAGATGTGAAGTCATTCGCATCTGGATTGGACCGTGGGCGATCGCTGCAGATTCAGCCTTAAGCACACATAAGCTGCTCATCATATAAGTGCGGGCCGGCCAAGAAAAACATTACACACTTCTAACTGATGCAACCTCAGCCTGAGGCGCAATTCATTATTGTCCATTTTAAACCTGTGCATGTAGGCTAAATGAGTGCAGCCCTGAGAGTGGGATCAATCTGGAACATTACATCAGCCATACCAGAAAAGGATCTATATGTCACTTTGGCATGCGTCCTGTTGGAAAGCCATCACAGTGACAAACACTACTCCACAGACTATTACCAGAGTTAGCATGAAAAGCATTTTGATTAAAGCATTGATCCTCTCAGAGTCTGAGAAACAAAAGGATTTAAAGTGATTCCACTCATCGCCTTGATTGGGTCCATTCTCTGCTTTACTGCCTCGGAGCTAGAGGAGAAAAAGGAGCATTTTTTTATCCCCAACTCAAGGAGCTCGGAGGTGTCATTTAAGCAGCAGCTCCAGCATGACGACATGTGTTTTCAGACACAGTCATCAGGGTCGGATTGAGTGCTGGCGGGAATTATTTTGTGTACAGGCTGGCAGTCTGCCCAGCTTGTTTATAGAATATGATTGAGCCTGTGGAGACTTGTGTTAATAATTAAGATATTGCAGTCTGGACATCAGCCTCTTTCCTTGTGACATTTAAGTCCTTTAATAAGGAAAACAGATTCACCAGAGTCTAGATGTATGCACCGGATGCACAGCTTGTTCCATATATATGTATATATATATATATATATATATATATATATATATATATATATATATATATGTATATATAAAAAAAGACACTGCGACATCCCATATTGATGATTCAGTTTTTCTTAATGAACCGATGTATGATTTATTGTCTATGCAGAAGCTGAGAGCAATATGTTCTCCATCAATGGTACAGCTTGAACACAGAGCATGATAAAGTGCAGGGAAACAAAGCCACTGATAAATAACAGGCTTGTGTAACATATTTAAACGAGCACTTCAAGGACACATATGGCTCACTTTGGTCTTATGGGCTGCACTTTGATTACAAGTGTTATATGAAACTAAAAACTGTTGCTTTTGGTAAACACATAACTTCTGTGCAAAATGTATTTTAAAACATCCGATGAAATTCAACTGAAAGAAAAATTTAAACGCAACAGTTGTTTTTGCTCCATTTTTCACAGGCTTAAAGGGCTGGGGCTGGTTGCACAAAACATCTTATTAAGATTTTCCTTTAAAGTCCTTGTTAAGGTCATAATAAAATCGGATGCACAAAACACCCTTAAGTCTTCTCTTTAAGGTTTCCTTAAAATATACACATTAGTATTTATGGTTTTCTCCTTGTCTTGGTCTTAAACTCAAGGGATCCCTAGACTGTTGCACAAAAGACCTTAGCAACCAAAGCAAGGTAAAAAAAAACTTAAGGTACCTCCAACTCTATCTTGACTGCAACATGACCGAGTTTATGGTGATAAATGAGAAGAGTGTTCTGCGATGATGATACGCTTTTGATTTTACACTTTAGATTTGACTGAATTAAATTTTGTTGAAATTTCTTCCTCCAATCATTTTCAGTTTTCTGGTATTTGGGGATCAGATTTACTTTGTAGTTCGTGCTTTCTATGATTGTATTCCTCCAGAAGTATACTCTTTTCCTCCTCTGACCAATATGGTTTTCTTGTCCTCTCTTCATCTGCCATTTTGTTCTCTATCAAACTGTAAGCCAACTCTGTGAGACAATGACAGGCGTCACAAGTGTGAGTTCAAGTAAACAAACAATCTCCATGGAAACTTGTACCGCTGTAAAATCTCTATCAATGCAGTTCAAAAGTTTTCTTAACTAAGGAAAGCTTTTAAGGGATTCTGTGCAACTGTGTAAGTCCCTCAGCAAAAGAAAAAAGAAGCCTTAAGTGTCATACTGAAGGAGAATACTTTTGTGCAACTGGTCCTTGATACTTGTTTTATGCACTCAGTAGTTATATTTCTCGGAGTGTCGGTGGCTTAGTGGTAGAGCAGGCGCCCCATGTACAAGGCTGTTGCCGCAGCAGCCCGGGTTCAACCCCAGCCTGTGGCCCTCTGCTGCATCTCTCTCTCTCTCTCACACTTCACTATCCTCTCAATTAAAGGCAAAAAAATGCCCTAAAAATATCTTTAAAAAAGTAGTTATATTTCTCTCAATTTTCTGTGTCAGTGAGCACTTCTACTTTTCCAAGATAATCCATCCACCTGACAGGTGTGGCCTATCAACATGCTGATTAAACAGCATCATTACTACGCAGGTGTGCCTTGGGGATGGTCACTAAAAAAAGGCCATTCTAAAATGTGCAGTTTGATCACACAACACAATACTACAGATGTCACAAGCTTTTATAGGAGAGTGCCGTTGGCATGCAGACTGCGGGAATGTCCACCAGAGCTGTTGCCTGTGAACTGAATGTTCGTTTCACAACCACGAGTCATCGCCAGTTTCATTTCTGTGAATTTGGCAGTACATCCAACCAGCCTCACAACCACAGACCACGTGTAACCACACCAGCTCAGGACATGAACATCCAGCGTCTTCACCTGTAAGATCACCTGAGACCAGCTACCTGAAAAGCTGATGCAACAGCATGACGGTCTTTACCTGACCACAGTTTGTCATAGTAACCAAACAGAGTGGGCAAACACTCAATAGCAATGGCATCTGGCACTTTGAGGAAATGTTCTTCTCACAGATGAATCCTGGTTTACACTGCACCGGGCAGATGGCAGCCATGACATGTATGGTGTTGCGTGGGCGAGTGGAGTCCCATTGTAACGGCATTCATCTGTCGCCATGACCTCATGTCGCAGCATGATAACACACGGCCCCATGTTGCAAAGATCTGTACACAATTCCTGGAAGCTGACAACATCCCAGTCCTTGCATGGCCTGCATACACACAGACATGTCACACATTGAGCATGTTTGGGATGCTCTGGATCAGCATGGACAACAGCATGTTGGAATTCCTGCCAATATCCAGCGACTTCACGCAGCCATTGAAGAAGAGTGGGCCAACGTTCCACACACCACAGTCAAGTCAACCTGACGTCTTTTGAAAAAAAGAAAAAAAAAACTTAGACATTTGATTTAAACTTGTGAATTTTTTTGTTTTGTGTGTTAATTTTTTTACATTATACAACTGACTTTTATGGGCAAGACAGTTGGACCCCAGTGTTGATGTGAGACCAGGGGTGTAAATATAGACAATGCAGTTGCACTGGGGCCCATGGGGTGGAGGGTCCCTATTGCCACCTGGAAATACACCAGTGTTCAAAGAAGAACTCCCATTAAATCAAAATGGTGCAATTTTCCATATATGACCTCAAAAAGGCAAACCCATCTCTATCATGGTTTTCTGTTTCTGTTATGCTTATTCGACATAAACTGTGAAAAAAACTATATCCATCTATCTATTCATTTTCAACCGCTTCTATGAAGTCGAGTCACGGGGGCAGCAGGCTGAGCAAAGTATTCCAGACGTCCTTCTCCCCAGCAACGCTTTCCATCTCCTCAGAAGGGCATTCCCAGGCCAGATGAGATATGTAATCCCTCCAGCATGTTCTGGGTCTGCCCCGGGGCCTCCTACCAGTGGGATGTGCCAGGAACACCTTGGGAGGCGCAAAGGAATCATCCTGATCAGATGCCCGAACCACCTCAACTGACCCCTTTCGACACAAGGGAGCAGCGGCTCTACTCTGAGCTCCCTCCGGATGTTTGTGCTCCTCAACCCTATCTCTAATGCCGAGCCCAGCCACCCCACGGAGGAAACTAATTGGGCCACTTTCTTTCGGTCACTACCCAGAGCTCATAACCATAGGCGAGGGTTGGGACTGGATGGACCAGTAAATCGAAAGCTTTGCCTTTTGGCTTAGCTCCCTCTTCACCATGACAGTTCGCCAAACCGACAAACTGCCAAGACATCTCGCACTCCTTTCTACCCTCACTCATAAAGAAGACCCCAAAAACTATAATTTAACTATAGAAAACTATTTAGTTTAACTAATAGTTTCCTATTTTCTTTTGTAGTTTTTGTCATATACAGTGTGTATGTAGATGTTGTCCAATGTCAAATCTCTGTTCAATCATGTAACGGGATTTACAGCAGCTAGTTAAGGTGCAAAATCTCTCAAGACTGACAAGCTGGGCACATCTGCATGTGGACATAACATCAAAGTGGCAATAAGACACACTGTTGGTAAAATATATATACGCCTAAAACTCTGTGTGTGAGTTGTGTGTGCTTCATAACAAGTAACTTCAAGTAAATGCACAAGTAAATGAACAAGTAAATGCACAAGTAAATGAACAACGTCTCACACCACTGTGTGAGACGTTGTTCATTTACCATTTAATCTCTTCGTTACAGAGTTTAATGTCTGCAGCCGACCCACCAGAAGTGGATCCTGCCTCACAGAGAGAGAGCACCTTCTCCATTGGCTTCACAGATCTACATGGTGAGTACTCGTTCAGATGCAGACGCCTTCATCTTAAGCAGTGTCACACAGCCAAGAGTCACACTGCCCTGAAAGTGAGTGTGATGTAGAAGGATGAAAGTGGGGGAGACGCGAGGCAGTCTTTCAAGAGAGAAGGTTTCTATTGAAAAATGGGGAGTGTTCGTTTTTTTCTTGTGCCAGAAAGTCACACCAACCTTCAGAAACCAGACGGGATAAAAGTAAAGACATATCAGTTTGGGAAATGAAGGATAAAAAGATGTTATGGGACAACTGTAAGTAGAGTAGAGATTGAGATTACAAGTTTTTAGGACAATGAATAAATTAGATATATAGATCAATTAAAATAAATTGTGAGGAAAAAACTGATGTTGGGCCTGTCTGGAAAAGGGGAAACAGCTAGGCTGGCTCTGAGGGTCTTGTCTTTGGTGTGAGGTTGCAAAGCATCCCAGCTGCCTGATGAAAATGTTGGCATTGTACGTGTCTGCAAGACACATAAGCAAGACAGCTGCCAAGTGGCAGACCACCATTCAAGACCAGCAGTGTTAGTGGCGAAATTTGCAGGTATTTTTTAAGATGTCCAGAACATTTCCATCCTCAGTTGTGGGGCCGAAGCGGGTCTTTTTTAACGACACATCATGATATGTCCAGTGGTGTTTGTGGCAACAAAATCAAAGTTACAACATATCTAATGTATGAAATGTACAAATGTAACTTATCCATGGTTTGCAGAAACTTACAATGCCAAATGGGTTGTTCCAGGGATAGAGCCTGGACTGGCACCTTTTAAAAAGCAGCTCCTCTGACCTTTAGGCCACAACTGTGCCCCTATCTCCTTACAGAGTCTCTTAATGAACTGGAGGACAATGACCTGGATGCTCTGATGGCTGACCTCGGATCAAAATCAACCAGCCCAGAAGAGAAACTCCCCACGGATGAACAGTCCAGCAGCTGTGCAGATAATCAAACAGCAGCCGTGGCTCTGGAGCCTGAGCCAGCAGCTGCCCTTCCTCAACCATCAAACTCTGCTGAATCCTCTGGAGAGCTACAGATGGTAACCTGGAATCTGTCACTGATCATAAAAACTAAGTTTTAAAATCATGAAAAAATGATTACCTTTATTATGCCTCCAGAGCGAACCCCAGACAAAAGCAGACAAAATTAAACTGGCTCTGGAGAAGCTGAAAGAAGCCAAAGTGAGGAAGGTAAAGTCAGCAGGTTTTTGTGTGTCTTCCTCACCATACAGTCACACAGATAAAGTTTAACTCAGCTTGCTGCCTTTTCTAGTTGATAGTAAAGATGCTGATGAGTGACGGCAGCTCTAAGACACTGATGGTGGATGAGAGACAGACGGTCCGAGAGGTTTTGGACACGCTGTTTGAGAAGACACACTGTGACTGCAGCATCGAGTGGAGCCTGTGTGAGACCAACCCTGAGCTGCAGATCGGTGAGACATGTTATACTCGCACTCAGGTCATATGCAGGCAATAGAGCACATGTAAATAAAATCATCCACAGAGGCAGGAGACACTGTTGCACACATGTTTTGTCATTGTTTCAGAGAGAGGCTTTGAGGACCATGAACACTTAGTGGAGCCCCTGTCTGCGTGGACTCGCCTGAGTGAAAACAAAATCTATTTTGTGTCGAAACCGCAGAAATATGTGATGTTCACAGACCCTCAAGTGAGTACAAGCATGTGTTTTCTTTTCACCAAAGTTTTATTACACGGTTTAATGCTAAGTCAGTAAAGTGAACTATGCTTTCTCACCCTGAAGTTATTTTACATGTGGAAAAAGAAGACGGCATGTTTGAGTGGAGTTAACGACCAAGCCAGACAGCTCTTACTCAAGGTCAGTTACATTACCATATTACTGGACCTTTATGTCAAGTTGCTGTGGGTCATTTCACAAACTGAAAATGGTCGGATGGCTGGGCCTTGTATTTTATCAATAAATAACAGCTACGTGGTCAATTGCTTTGTTCCATCTTGCTTTAAATGTGCTGTTACACCATCTGATCCAAAAACCTTGATCTGTCTGTTCTTAATTACTAGCCAAACTCAAACCTCTCACTTTTATCCAGGATTCTGGAAATAGTTGTTTTCTCTCAACTCATTTCCATCTTGGACAAATTTCAGTCAGAGTCTGCTCTCTTGAGGATGACAAATAATGTTCTGTTAGACACAGGATCACCTTGCAGTTTGAGTAAGTTGGTGGCATTTGGCACAGGCCCGTCCCCTCCGAGACAGATCAGACTCTGTTAGAATTGATAATGCGTGCTCTTCCTGCACCCCCATTGCCTGTGGGGTACCACAAGGCTCCATATTAGGCCCCATTTTATTTTCCCTTTATTTGTTTCCTTTGGGGTCTGTTTTAAGAAAACATAACATCTCCTACCATCGGTACGCAGATGACACACAGTTGTACCTCCCACTAGAACCTCCTTGCTGTTTTAACTCCCTCCTTAGGGTGTAAAATCCTGGTTGGCAAAACCTTCCTAAACCAGAATTAAACTGAAGTTGTAATCAAGCAGCAACATCTGAAAAATGAAGCCAATGCAGAAGTGCCAAAAAATGCAGTTCCTTTAATGGCCACTTGAGGCTGGCTCCAAGACAAGTCAGTCCCCATAGACCTTCATGATAAAATGCCCAACTTTACAGCAGAAATAAACATGTCTACAGCCTGGTACAAAAATGTTTTGGTCTCTAAAGCTAATTTCAACATTCATGACAACTGTACAGGGGGTGAATTTTTATGTAACTCACTCATTTAAATGTTATTAAGGCTTAAAGTTATGCATAATTAAGGGAGTGGCTGCTTTGAGTGACAGGTGGGTGCTGTCAGATGACAAATTGCTACAACAGTGACAATTTTTGTTACAGTAGGTAACGTAAGGCTGGTGTAACAACAGATTCACAGTGTATTGGTGTAGCCATCACTATTTCAGTGTTTTTTCAGTTAATGAAAGTTAATTGTAACATTTTAGTTGATGAAAAAGTCTTATTTAGCATTTAATTGTACTAAAAGATCCTCTAAGAAGTCAGATGTTTAGTTTATCTGCTAAGTATATTTTGCTTTAATAGTTTTAAGCCTGTTTTTCACAAACTACAATTATTCATTCATTCATTTTCTGTAACTGCCTATCCTGTTACATGTTGCGGGGGGGCTGGAGCCTATCCCAGCTGACATTGAGTGAGAGGCAGGGTACACCTTGAACAGGTCACCAGACTATCACAGGGCTGACACATAGAGACAGACAACCATTCACACTCACATTCACACCTACGGACAATTTAGAGTCACCAGTTAACCTGCATGTCTTTGGACTGTGGGAGGAAGCCGGAGTACCTGGAGAAAACCCACGCTGACACGGGGAGAACATGCAAACTCTGCTCCCCCACCCCAGGTTTCGAACCCAGAAACTCTCTTGCTGTGAGGTGACAATGCTAACCACTGTACCACCATGCAGCCCTGGCTAAAATTAGCATTGGCATTATCACAGTTAACCATAGCTGTGAATGCACTGTACTAACAAAGCTAGCAGCTAGTTTTAGGGTTAGCTCCACCTTCTTGTCCAAATTTGGTTACTTCTGGCTCCAAAAATCCAAGATGGCGACAGCATTGTTTGACAAATTGATGTGTTAATAGTGTTTATTTCAGTCTTGCATGTAATCTTTGACCTCTGACCCTGCAGGAGCATTTTGAAGGTCCTACTGTGATTGTTCCTGATCTCGAGGGCATGCTGTACCTCAAGGAAGATGGGAAGAAGGTTTGGAAACCGCGCTACTTTGTGCTCAGGGCCTCGGGCATCTACTATGTACCCAAGGGAAAGACAAAGGTTTGACACATCTAATACGTTTTGAACAATGAAAACATCACATTACATTTTAAATGCAGCCATGTGCAGCACTGACACTGATGTATTGTTGCTCAAGAAACAACAGGTAGGTGAGAGGCCACATTTGAAATTTAGCAAGTTGTGTGGGCGAAACTAACTCCCACACATACAGCCTGGAGAAAACTGTGGTGGGCTGCTGTCGTGACAGTGGAACTGATGAATTATCAGTGATGGTTTATGTTTCTTAAGGTGATTTTTGGCACCAGCAACCAAAAAAAAAGATAACCACAAAGAATAAGCAGGAGGTGTCTAAACTTGCCACCTGAATTTTAACACCCTGAGAAACAGTTAAAATCTTTGGCAGGTGGGTACTTCAGGTCAGTGTGCAAAGGTTTTCATTTGTTTATCTGATGCCAACACTTTAGAAAATACATTTCCTTGCAGAGAGATAGAAGACGAAACCACTTTCATCTGTTAGAGTGGGAATCAATCTGTCCATCCAACTGTCAGTAAAAAAAATAATAAGCGTCTTACCCAAAGTGTCAAACTGCATTAAAGGGAAGGTTTGCCACCTTCTGTGTGGATATCCAATCAGTGTTCATAGTAAATGTAGTCAACTGAAGCAATACATTTCTCAGTGTGTGCTATATTGACCAAGAAAGCTGAGTTCCCCAATTCAACCTGGAGCTCTTCCTGACTCTAAAGCCCCGTTTACACCAAACACTTTCAGTATGGTACCTTTGGAACCAAAAGTAACCATTCAGACATGGTACCTAGACACTAGTGTTTCCACCGCAAACGGTACTCTTAAATGAGGCGGGGATGTTGTCACTCACTGCTCCATCCAGAACTCACTGTATTTCCTCATTATTGGTGACACTGATGGAACTCTGCAGCTTGTTTATCGTCCACAGAAAGAGGTTGCACGCCAACATTTTCAGAACAAAATAAAACAGGCTGCAGTGAGAGTCTCTCTCCATGGGATATTTAAAAATAGCAGGTTTGTGCATTTAGTCCTTCTCAGGCAAGCTCAGGGGTTTAGTGTTGCCGTAGCCCACAGGAACTACGCTCCGCGACGCTTTTTTTTTTCCCCCCGAGTGAGGATTAGAATGTATGCAGTTCACATAACCCGAATGAAATTAATATATATAAATGCCTGAAGATCCAATCATTACTAAAAGTGTATGTCATATGAAAACTTAAGTAATGGTCAAAGTTGTCATATTGAAATTTAAGGTGTGTTGATCAGTTCACGTCGTCAGCTCACGCATTGAGTAACGTTACAAGTTAACGTTCCACCTTAAAAGTTGCCAGCAGCAAAACATCCTTTCATTTTATCGTTACAGACTACTAACTAAACTCTCCATGGTATGAACAGTGGTTACATGAGCCTCACAACCAGCCACAGCTCGGCCCTGAGCAGAGTGACGTCCTCTATTGACCAATCAATAGACTGCAGTGTTCACAGCTCCACCTTTTAGTACCAGATCTGTGTGCTAGGTACCCCAACAGAGGGGGGACCAAAAATGGGAATAGTATGGAACTGTTCTATTGGTACCATCCACAACTTTTCACAGTGGAAACGGAAACTGATTTTGCAGCTGTAAACTCAGCGTTCTCTGTCAGTACAGCACATACTGAGGAATTTATTGTTTCAGTCGACTCATTTACCATCAACACAACATCCACATTAAAGGTGTTGAATAACCCCTTTCAATTAGCATCTGTGCATATTTCTTTATACATCTACAGTGGTGACAAATGGTGTCTGATTTTTCATGCAGACTATTAACAGCTGTCTGCTTCAGGAGAAAAATAAAAGAAAAAAAATGGTTGCACGTATGGCGTTTGTCCTTAAACGACGAGAAAAGAGATTTTTCTCTGTGTAAAGTCTATGATGGGTTACATCTGAGCGCTCATGCATAGCAGAGGCAGAGAGGCAAGAAGAAGTGCCACAGAAATGAAGATGGACAGTGTGAATTGAGGCCTCGCCGCTGTTAAAGAGCAACATGTCGTTGTGTCACTGAGACGGAGCAGAAAAACACCGCCCTTTCAGGCTAACTCTGAAAAAATCATCCAAGAGGAAGAAATAGATGGAGGGGAAACTGTGCGAGGCAGATGTGCAAATCGCAAACATAAAAGAACTGCAGGAATTATCTGAGGCCAAGGACACAAGAATGAAGCAGAGGAAGATTTGGAAACGACAGTTCATTAGGTAGGGGGAAGAGAAACGGCCAAATCAGACAGAAAAAAAAGCGTAACTGAAGTTCTTCTGCAGTCTGAAGTGGACCTGTACGTGTAACTACCAGACTAACATGTAAACACAAAGCTCCTGATGTGGCACTGTGATCATCAGAGGTGGAGAAAAGGTCAAAGATGGAGGAAGACAAGTGGAAAGAGGTACGAGATGAATAAAAAAAAAAGAAAGAAGTTCTCTGCGGGTCATTTCCTCTTCCAGGAAGCTTGACGCTGTAGTTTCCAGTGGAGAGCAGCATCTCTGTCAGTGTGGTTTATTGTGTGAACACGATGTGTTTCTGTTTAAAAACAAAAATGAAAGGAATGTTACAATGCTACAGAAAGAAAAACAAAACATGGAGCTCCATTGTCAACTTCCTTTGAAAGACAAATGGCCTTGCACGTCTTTGAAGTGTCTTAAGTTTTAATGCCAAACATACAATTAGATTGAGAACATTTATTTGTTACACAACTCACTGAAAAACAACCAAGACAGAGTGGAAGAACAGCCAGCGTTTAGACTGTTCCAATTTAACGAGACCAGAGGAACATCTTAAGGTGTGCTTTGTGACGCAGTGCAGCACTGGAGCAAATAAAATAAAGCACATTGTCAACAACAAAAAATAAAGTGATAGAAAGAGATTTACTTCTTAAAGATGTGTTTCCATCTGCACCAGCTGTCAGTTTCAGAAGAGCAACTTCTATTGGAGACAAGTCTGTCCATTTCTACTGGGAGGCTCGGTCACAGACCACAAGGCTGTGAATAGAGCTGTGACAATTAATTGATTAGTTCTGCTATTAAATTAAAAGGCAACTCATTTGATAATCAATTAATCGGTTTGTTATTAATTAAGATAAAGTAAAAATTCTCAGATCCCAGCTTCTTAAATGTGAATATTCTCTGGTGTCTTTCCTCCTACATGACACTAAACTGAATCTCTTTTGGTTGTGGACAAAACAAGACATTTGGGGACGTCATTTTGGGCTTTGGGAAACACTGATTGACATTTTTCACCATTTTTCTATGTGACCGTTTGTGAATTTAGGATGAATTTGCTGATCTTGAAGATGTTGATGCCTTGTGGGCTGTGTGTTGTGCACACCCAATCAATACAATCATTCCAGATGAGCCAGGCCTGCGCAGATTTGATCACCGGCAATCGCTGCACAATGCATGCTGGTTAGATTTGTGTCCGACTTCATCCTGGCTTACTGTCACAAGATCGAGGAGGATGCAGTTGCTCTCCACCGACTGCAAGACCCGGAGCATGATGGGAAACACCTTGTTCTCACCTGATCTAACAGCTGATTGGTTTAGATGTTGACTCAACAATATGATGTTTTATTTAAACTTTTCATTTTGTTGAATTTCAGAGATTCAGATTTGATTTGTCTGATCTGAAGGTTTACACTGTGAACAGAAAACATGTTGTGTGACTGATGGTGACGTCTGGTCGTAAGAGACTAAATACATTTATCATCAACTAAGGGTAGTCTACTGTATATTAACATTGGACTGTTTTAATTATTGAAGTATGTAGCAACACAGAGACTTGCAGTAGGTGGGATGTGAGAATTCTTAAAATACATCTGTACAGATGTGAAGCTTTGACTATATCTGACTGATCTTTAATGAAAACTGCTGTATTTCTTTCCTCTGTATTTGACTGAGGCTGATGTTTTCAGTTTAAATGTAGTTAAGGGGACAGGTCTGCTCTGCAGCAGCAAACTGATATGATGCTGATTTACATGACGATTCACGTAAAATGGAGGTTGACCCATGAACAAAAATTACAGATCGCCTGTAAAGTATTTTTAGAGGCTACTCTGTCATAATTACTACTGGAGACTGTGGTCAAACTGATATGAGTCTGATAAAGTTTTATTAAATCGGCATCAGATCTAACAGGACGTGAGTGTTTCTGTGACTTCCTGTGCTGGAAACTGTGCGTTTCCAGGTGCCATTCATCTCAAACGAGTCTATTGACTGCACCTGTGACAGTTATCCTGAGCTGCTATGATTACCCGGCAGCTGACACCAGCTTTGGTGTATCTGTGAGCTGTCACTTGTCTTTTTACGTCCTGATGAAGAGTGGGAGCTGAGACATGTAGGTGCTGAGCCCATTTATTAAAGGCTTTTAAATTGTTGCAAAGCAGTGTGCGTTTTATGTTTTGGTTATGACTTATTGCTCACAAAGCAAAGTACAAGTCTAACCTCTCTTTTCTTTGGTCTCATATACTGTATCTTTGGATCCAAACAGCACCTATTTTTTGATACCTGCATTCATGAACTAGCTCTCCTCAGACAATACTGACATTTCCTCTCTTTACTCCACTTTATGTTACCTCCTAAATATCACTGTAAAACTGTTAAAATGCCAGAAATTCAAGTACCATGTCTTGTGTATAAATGACTCTAAATACACAAACATAATTTCCTGTGATTTATTTTTTTTGTCTGTCCGACAGACTTCCAGCGATCTCGCCTGCTTTGTCCATTTTGAAAAAGTCAACATCTACACCACCAACAACTACAAGCAGAAATACAGAGCTCCCACCAACTTCTGCTTCATGCTGAAGGTAGGTGCAATAAAAGTTTAATGAGGTAAAGGCGTCACAGAGCACATGTATGTAATATACCCACTGAGTGGATGTTTATTCTAAGGACTGTTAAACCACCTCGAGGTCTTCTTCCCCCCTTTTATGATATTTTAATCTGCGTCACTGGAAAAAAAGCATTCCTGGTTTGACAAGAGAAGGGAGGGGAGATATCACAGGTTGTCTGAAACAATAAATAACAAGCAGCTCATGTTGCAGGGAGGGATGACTGCTAAATGTTTTCTTTCTTAAAAATCCTACCTACCATCTGTGGTTTTTTATGTTTGAAGACTCAAACAATGTCCCATTCAGACATTTAAGAAGCCTTTTTTCCACATAAATTTATGTTCATATGGAACTAGTAGACTTTCAGATGCCTGTCAGATACATTTACATGTAGATACTTGAGGGTTTCTTTTGTTTGAGGTTTATTTTTCTGTTCAACACCACCCCCCAAACACAAACACAGACAACTCATGTAGAGCTGTAAAAGTGTCTGGATCTTGATCATCATCATGCACTCAAACCTTTCTGTGTTTTCCAGCATCACATGCCAATCATCGACACTGTGAATAAATTAGAAACATCTGAATTAACAAAAAAGGTTGTGATGACAGACACATGGAGGAACTACTGAAACAAGATTTTCTTTCTTTCTGACAAGTAGCTGGTCTCACTAAAACATGGTCAGAGATGTCTCAGCTCATGTCTACAATATGTTTAAACAACCCAATCAGCAGTGTAAATGTTGGCATTGTACCAATCTGCAAACCATGGATGTGTTAAATTTGTACGTTTCATATGTCGTGGGTTTGTTGAAACTGCGTCTTTACATTTTAGTTTTTTTAATCAAATGTTTTGACATCTTTGTAGTCAACATGTCGATAGCTTCAGGCACAAGAAACTCTTTGTTAGGCTCAGGAGGACATCACGCTTTTGCTTAAAATACCAGGTTTGGTTGCTACAAACCGCTGGAAATGTGTCGTTAAAAATGCCCTGTTTTGTCACAAGAAACACGGCTGAAAATGTCCCAATATGACGTTTAAAAATACCTGGTTTTGTTGCAACAAACGAGGCTTGAATTGTCTCCATGTTTAGTTAAAAAATATTCTGTTGTGACGCAAGAAACACAGCTGAAAATACCCCAAAATGATGTTAAAAAATACCTGGTTTTATTGCAACAAACATGGCGAAAAATGTCCCGACGTGTTGTTAAAAAATATCCCGTTCTGACACAACATACCCAGCAGAAAATGTTCTGACATGTCAATAAAAATAATGTGGTTTTGTTGCAACAAACACAGCGGAAAATGTCCCAACATGTAGTTAAAAAAAAAAACAGAAAAAAAAGCTTTGAAGCGTTAAAAATACCTCCTGTTGCAACAAATGAGGCTAAAAATGTTCTGATATGTATGTAGGCCCAATGTTTAGTTAAAAAAAATTTGTTTGTGAAGCAAGAAACACAGCTGAAAATGCCCCAACGTGTCATTAAAAACACAACATACACAGCAGAAAATGTTATGTTGCAACAAACAAGGCTGAAAACACCCTGACGTGTATTTTAAAAAAAAGAGAGCGAAAAAGACGTGCCATTAAAAATACCTTTTGTTGCAACAAACAAGACTGAAAATATGCCAACTTGTAGTTAAAAAAAAAAAAAAAATCCCATTTTGACACAACGTACATGGCAGATGATTGTTCCATCATTAATTGTCATTAAAAATACCTGGTTTTGTTGCAACAAAAGAGGCTTAAATTGTCTTGATGTTTAGCTGAAAATATTCTGTTGTGACACATGAAACGCAGCTGAAAATATCCCAAAATGTTGTTAGAAAACAGGTTTTGTTGCAACAAACACAGCTGAAAATGTCCTGACATGTAGTTTAAAAAACAAAAGTCTTGACACAACAAACATGACGAAAAATGTCCAGACGTGACGTTAAAAATACCTTGACACAACGTACTGTACACGGCAGAAAATGTTTCAATATGTCATTAAAAAATACCTGGTTTTGTAACCACAGAAGAGGCTAAAAATGTCCTGATGTGTTAAAAAAGAAAGAAAAAACTGTTTCGATGCCTCACAAACACAGCAGAAAATTTCCCGACATGTTGTCAAAAATACCCTGTTTTGTTGTTTGTCGGTCTTAACAATTGTCTGCTGCTTAGCAGACAGCTCACCTGGGTGTCATACCATCCACCGTCCCCTCCACCTCCTGCTGAGAAACTTAGCTCATAAATGTAATCTGAACCACATCACTTTGGAAATGTTGGTATGATGTGTATGAGACATACAAATGTAATTTATCTGAATGTATCTGTGGTGTGCAGAAATGTACAATGCCAACAGTTTATCCTGGTTTAAATAAAGTTGTTTTGAGCACCTGAGGGACTTTAGGAGTACGTTTACTATTTCTACTTTACTATTACTACGACCATACAATGTTTACGCCTAATAGGAGTCCCATGCAGTTTAGACTATCAGTGCATTTGAGACTAGAGGGAGAGAAATGGGATGGGGAGGAGAAGAGAACAAAAAGCAGGGAAGAAGTCAGTTGTTTAGAGGTGAACATCATGGTGGTGTAATCAGAGGTTGCAGCCCTTCGGTGGTATTTTATCATGTAAATGACATTTTAATTCAGGCCAAAGGCAGGCCTGAGCAGAGAGTGGAACAACATGTGGGCTGCCGGTGCTTGTTTGTGTGGTGTTGTTTCATTTTGGGGGCATGCAGGGTCGTATTAGGTATTCCTAGCAGGGATACATGATGTTCTCAGAAGCTGACCTGCAGTTACTTGTTTTTGTTTTTCAAAGAGTCGAGAGTTATATCACGAGTGAACATGATCCCCATCAGCTTGTTAAACAACACTGAATCCACACACTGTGTTCTGTACATGACAACAGCTGAGATCAAACATTAGCATATAGACTGAGAAGAAAGCTGAATATAACGAGCAGGACGCGTCACATCTGTACCCCGACACTAAGATTAAGATCAAGTGTCAGCAGGAGACACAAATAGTGTTGTTGACAGTAACAGCTCAGTCATGTTGAGGGGAAGTTAAATGACTGAAAAATAACCAACAAACCTCAACTGGTTTTGTCCATTTGACCTGTGACTGCCTGTCATTGTGTCAGACAAGACTTTCTTAACCGTGAGAACCTGAACACAACAAGTCAGTATAGTGTTTGTGATGACATAGTCACAACTAGGGTCTCCATTTTTGTCCATTTGTTTTTAATTAATTTAGAATAATTAAGAGGCACATGCTCTGTGAAAACAGGTCCTGCTTTAACAGTCACGCCAGTGTTGATGAGCCACAGTGCAGTAACAGCTTGGTGTCGGCTGACCTCTGCTGGCTCTCATGTGTAATACAGATGCATAAACTGTCAGCATTTGTATTTAAAGGAGCACTCCACCTGTTTAAAATCTGACAAAATAAACCCAGTGATGTCATAGTGATGTCATCAGGGTAGTCTAAGCTTAAGCTTTAGAGGCTACATGTTTATAACAGAGTCTGCGGAGCTTGAAAGATGTGAACATGTACCAAAAGACACTAATGAGATGCATTATGGGACGTGAAGGATGCAGGATTTCTGGAGCTTGTCCACCGTGACATCACCCAAAGGAGCTCACTCAAACATACGAGTGATGCTCTGGACATGCAAAAGTTTTCCTTCCACTCCTCACAGACAACAGTCCCCCCTCTGGAAAGTTTCCCATCATCTGCTATTTCAACCAGTCTTGATCCAAAACAGTAATTTCTGGCGGACTTTAAACCACGGGTGCTGAGGCGGAGCAAAAGCCCTGGGTGCAGCAGACGCCTCTGTTCATCCATGAAGTGGTGCAGCAGTACAACATTTAAATGTAAAGTAATCAATAGACCAAGCAGCTCTAACAAAATGTTGTTTCTGGCGTATGCTCATCACACAAAGCAAAAACAGGCATGTATGAATTGAGGAGATGACATCATCGTTTCCCAAGCACTCCATTTTACATGTCCACACACACACACACACACACACACACACACACACACACACACACACACACACACACAGTAGCTGGACTTTTTAAAAACCTGCACCGTAAAAGGTGGCTGCTGCTTAGCGAGTTCAAGTCAGGATATCTTGCCCTGTGCTGCATCACTTTTGACTCTTCTTTTTTTCATTATGTCTCTCTCAAGTCCTCTGATTTTATGGAAGTGCAACTGTAACTGAAATTTTGTGTCATAAGCTAGATGATTAGGACTTCAGTTGTGGCATTTGAATAATGTAAATGGAGTGTTTTCAGTACATAAAAGTCAGAAGTCTTCAAAGAATACAGTGAAATGACACAAATAATAGGACATAGGAGAGCGTTGTTCAGTTTGGCCCATGTTGAGATGAATGTGAGTGTTTGTGTGTGTGCACCTGGTGCTGCTAGAGAGTGTATGTTTTTGCTCAGTCCTGCCGGTTAAGTTAATAAAACTTGGTGATGGCCAAATGAAGCCTCATGGAGCATTTTCTATATTTTTTGAGCCCACTAGATGGTGCTTTTTGTTCAACAAAAGGTTGAAAGCACACTGAATTGCTATTCTTTGAGCCTCTCTCCATCTAGTGGGCTCAGAAAATAAAGAAAATGCTTCATGAGGCTTCATTTGGCCATCACTATTAAAACCCCATTTTTCTGCACCATGAGTACTGCTGCTGTCTGGATGGTGTAACACAATACTCATAGTAGTGCCCCGTTAACATCTCTGCTCTCTCTGCCTGAACTTTTTTCCCAGCATCCCCGCATCCAGAAAGAGTCGCACTACATCAAGTTCCTGTGCTGTGACAACGAACACGCGATGTTGCTTTGGGTGAACTCCATCAGAATAGCCAAGGTCAGACTCGACACTGTGTGTAACACAAATCTCTTTAATGTGAGCAGTGATGGCAGAGAGTTTGAATATATATGTGTGTGTGTGTGTGTGTGTCCTCTGTCTGTGTGTTCAGTATGGGGCTGCCCTGTATAAGAACTACCAGGCTGCACTGAAGAGAACCTCTAGTTTTCAAACTCTCCACTCTGCTGCACATAAAGGTGAGTCTACAGGTTAGAACAGGGCCGGTATATAAAAAAACTCTGATCATGTCTCCACAAAATGTCCCCTTCAAGCACTGAATAAGCCAACAGCAGGCCCACAAAGGTGGTGTGTTATTATAAGCAATTTAAGGTTTTATTCAAAATAATCTTTAATGAGTTACAGAAGCAAATAGTTAGCATATGAGGTTAGAACTCTTGATGGAAGCATTATAAAATGTTTGCAATGTAAAGTATTCCTTTAAAATCAAAATTTTACCCTCTACATACTGGCCCAGGTCAGAGCACTGCCACTTTTGACCAACAGCAGTGGAGAAAACTGTAGGAACCAGGAACCTAAAGCAAAAATACAGAACAGGAATAGCACTACTAAAATCCACATTTCTGTAATTAAACCTAATTTAATTGTCTTTACAGACAGATGTAACATTAATGCCCCTCAGAGCAGCCCACGTCCGGGTCCAGCTCCACCCAAAATCACAAATGTTGAAGATGAGCCACCACCTGACTTCATCCCTCCTCCTCCTGGACACACGCAAGTTTGAGACACATCTTCACCTTCTGATGTGCATCATGGTTAACTTCAGTTAGCTGGATTTAGCCCATTTAGCCTCCCATGTGCACACGTCTGGACAAATATCCAACCTGGAGCCAATAATATGATGTCAGTAATGCACAAACATGTAGTAGTAGTAGTGTTACAAGACCATGATGCAAAGAAAATTAAAAAGCTTTTACTTATTCTCAGATGTATAATACTATTTATTTGGTTTTGGACAAAGTCCCTGCAAGGTATAATTTTTTTGCACCTGTTCAAGCAACTAGGAAAGACCCTAAAAATTAAGGTAAAGGTAGAAATTATTTTAGCAAAGGACACAGAACTATTGAGGATGTACAGTAAACATCTATCAGGGGAGGCCATGGCTGGTCTAAATCCTTGATAAGAAAGACAGAGATGTTGCACAGATCAACACTAGAGACACTAGTCATAGTATTAATTCAATGCCACTTTGACTGTGCTGCCACCTCCTGGTGTGATAGTACACCGCGGTGCATCAAAAATAAAGTCCAGAGTACCAACACATGTATATCAGGGTTGTGTTAAAGTTACCTCTTTCTACTCATCTTGATTCAGCATATTTATTACAACTTCCAGAGACAATCAGAGGCAACCGCTTTAATCCTTTTGAGATTCAAGAGTTTAGTGGGCAAATATTTTCAAACTACTTTTAAACACAGCTGCAATTGAATGGAATAAACTTCTAATATCTCTGAAAGTAATTGAAGCAATGAGGAATTAAAAGCAGGCTATAAAGAAACAGCCAGCAAATAGTCTCATAGCAGGGAACTTGCACAAATTAACTGAGTGATGTCCTTTTGTTTTACTTCTTTGGTGATTAAATGGATTCTGTATTTGCACCTGTCTATAGGTTTTTTAAAGATTTTTTCTATTATTATAGTGACGGAGAGAGACAATAACGGCAGGGGAGTGAAAGGGCAGATGGCATGCAGCAAAAGGCCAGACTCGAAACTCCACCTCTGTGATGAGTTCTTATCCATAGTCTGTATATTACCTATGGTAGATGGTGGTCGGCACAACCCTCAGTTTGGAGAAGCAGGCTAGAGTACTGCCATGGAAGGTGAGCAATGTGCTGCTGTGGATGACGGCAGCATCAAAACATATTTTAGCCACCTAAAAATCGGAATCAGTATAATTGTACCCCATAATTAGAATATTTTTGCTGCTTTACTTTACTGTCAGACAGCCCTTTCCGACTTCCCCATCTACGCTCTTGTCAGAGCCACCAGACTCCATTGACAAAAATTTCAGCTCGCCGAACCCGGGAGCTGCTGGTCTACCGCTGCCTCCATCACTTAGTTTGTGTTACAGTGTGACTTTGGTCAATCCAAACCGACTCTTTTAATTGTCCAAGACACACAATAACATAAACAGAGGGCTTTCACATCAGGGACCCAGGCATGGAATACATTTCATTTTATAAGTGTGAACACTGTGTACCGTACTCGGGCACAGGTGGTCTCAAGTACTATTAATATGTACTCTCCTACATTACCCCTCTGGTGTGAACACCAACTATACCAAAACTCGGAAGCAGGCTGTTATTTGACACAACTGCAAGGAGTTTTTACCGGTAATAAAACAGTCAAGAGAAGAGACAAGATGAGACGGGACGAGGCTGTAACAAGCTGCCACTAGTGCAGCACCATCTTGAGAAGAATATAATGCTAATGCCTCTGTATCAAACTGCAAGAGCAAAGCTTTGCCTACTCCACAGGTAGTGATGGCCAAATGAAGCCTCATGAAGCATTTTCTGTATATTCTGAGCCCACTTGATGGCACTTATTGTTCAACAAAAGGTTGAAAATACACTGAATTGCCATTCTTTGAGCCTCTCTCTTTAAACCCAGAGCACCATCTAGTGGGCTCGTCATGAGGCTTCATTTGGCCATCACTACTTCACAGGCCCCTGCAGATGACAGTCCCTGAGGCAGTAGTGTCGTCTGCAGCAAACTTTTCTTCACTGTAGCTTAGCAAAAATGTCATATAGATGATGACGCAAGTGTACTCGGGTACGGAACAACATTGCTAATGTGAGAGTGGAGTGGAGGGTGGTAAATGGTACTCATGCATGGAGAGCATTAATCGGACCTGAAATGAAAAAGCCCTAAATGATCGAGGCAGCAGCTCCCATGTCTGGCTTTGAAGAGAGCCATGTAACAGCTTCAGCTCCTCGTCAGAAATCGCTGTCTGACGGGAGAGTTAAGTGCTGAAAATATTCTCAAGATAGCAAACACTGTGGCCCCCATCAACAGCAGTATGTGGTGTTACTCTTGCCTGCTTCGCCAGACTGGGGGCGTGCTGACTGACATCTACTGTAGGTAATACACTGACTATGAATGAGCACCTCATACAACCCCACTTGAAAAGATCCATACTATCCTTTATAGGTCCCTTTAATGGTACACACTCTACCCAGTGAGCTAGCGATGGCCAGGTGAAGCAGTATTATGTGTATTTTATGATGTTTTATGTGAAATAAATCTGTCAAACTTTACGACACACAAAACACACAGCTGTGTTCATTGTTTCAATGAGCTGTTTATTACAAAAAGACTGTACATAAATTTCAATGAACACATCATATGTACAAACTGAGAGGAGAAGACAAATATTGGATTCTGTTCCCATGAACATTTAAGTTACTGATTTTTTTTTCCCCCCCCATGTTTCTCATTAAGAAAACACACATCAAAGAAAGGCGCCTTGACCTGTGATGCCCTGAAATGCTAGACGTTAAGTGGTAAACATTACAAAGTTCTGCACGTCAGTGGTTGTCTCATGATTTCTCTCTGAAAAAAGTATAAATAAATCCTTTACGTACAAACTGCTAGCGAGCCTTCCTCAGCAGTCTCCGACACACAAAAACAAGTTGAATGCAAAGCTAGAAATACGCTAGGTAGAAAAAGTTGTTTTCTCACAAAAAATTACCTCATGATGGAAAAAATACAATCAAGAATGGGATGTAGTGGCAAATCATTCACTGTAATGACGATACTTTCATGCACAATGAATACTGTTCATATGACCGAGTCGTTGTCTTTTCTGATCTGTGTGGAAACCTGAAAATGTTACCGCTGGATAAAATCCCCCTCACAACATCAGGAAGTCTGTGTCATTTCAAAATAAAAGTTTGTGTTCAATGCCCATTACTCCCAAAGTACATATGATTATGTTTGTTTATGTGACTTGTTACAAGCATATGAGATAAACATTAGCTTCAGTGGTATCTGACAGCGGGTTTTAATGCCGGGTTCAGACTACAGGATATCAGCCTGATTTTAGCCTGACGCAGCTGTCCTTCGGTGTCAGCTCAGATCGTGAACGACAGTGAGTGACGTTTGCGATAATAAATCGTTTTATCCTGTGTAGTGCGTCGTAGTCGACAACAACCAACGCCATGTCTGGGACACCTCACAGCATTCCAACAGAAAGACTAGCATGTTTGATTTTCTTTTTCTTTCTTCTTCCACGACTCTTTCCATCACAGCCATCACTTTGACCAATAAGAACACAGCGATGTGCCACTGTAGACAACTGTGAGGCAACAATACCCCAACCTTTTGGATATGTCCTCTTGAGATGTTACCACACAGAGTAAAAAAGGAAAAATGCTGGCATGAAACAGCAGCGACACTTCAGCAACCTGATGAGTACTGCAGTTAGCATCAAGCTAGCAAAGAGTGCTAATTCACCATAATAATCCCAAATGGTGTCTAAAACTTTACTTAGAACAACTACAGAGGGTACCAACTTTATTTGAAACTTCATTAGACACAGGCCTTTATTTCTCATTCCCTCTGTATGTTTCTACTTTTAATCCCTTCCTGTTTGCCCTGTTAAATTTAACGCATCATGCTGTCATTTCAAACTCAACACTTCCTGTCTCCATTTGAAATTAAAAGCCCCTCATCCCTTCGGTGGAGAGAATCCCTTCATTTTCTAAACAGGCTTTTATTGTGAAACACTTGCAGGAATTTGTTGCGGAGAATTCAGTCACTTGCACGGTACTTCAAATATAGCTCCTGTCATCTGACGGCACTTTTTACGTTACTACAAAAACAGTTTGGCTGGGACATGAACAGCCACAGTGACTAAAACATAGATATTAATAATACCTAAATACCAGACACTGAGATGGCACCTATTCATTCCACTGGAATTGCTCGTCTGGCACGTACACCTGCCTTCTGTTGTATATGGCCCACTGAATATGCACAGTAGTGATTCTCCTGTTGGCCGGGGCCACAAGTTCCTGCTTGGCTCATAGAGTTTACACTGTGATGACGACAGATTTTTAAATCGCTTTTCTTGGCTTGAGGAAAGTTTTACAAATATAAAACCAGCATGGCTCAAAAATTCAGAATATAAAGAGTCGTACTTGACCTTGTTTGTAGTTTGAGGTGTCCTGTCAACAGCTTTACAGACAAGTCTTTTACAATGGCGGTCTGTGGGGGAAAAAAAGCTTTTATGGCTGCAATACTACTAGTAATAATAGGACAAGAACACTAGACATCACACACGTCATGTAAGATGACTGGTCGTGGACTAACTTGTAGTCTGTCACGCCAGGCAAGATTTTATGACTCTGTAATCACCTCATCCGACATAGTGATCGTCAGGACGGGCAAACATGTCGTGTAGTCTGAACCCGGCATCACTTGCACCAACAATCACTTTGCAAGAACAGGCATCTTATTTTACAAAAGTAGTAGAAATCAGAAGAGAAGTCTTCATATATCGGCACTGTTTTTAAGACCTCAGGATTGCAATTCATTCCTTCACTGCAGTTGGCAGGTGTCATTCATACGCAGCACAGACTGTTTATCTGTGTGTAGACAGACAAAACATACTGTAAGCAGCAGACTGAATCGAGCTTTAGTACATTACCACTGGGTTGCCTACATTCACTAAAATGCAGAGGTGATTGAATCTGATATATGTTCACCCTCTGGAACAAAGTAATGAGACTAAACTCCCTTGTTACATTTCTGCAGTTTGTAGCGCAGTCTTGGTTTGAGGTTGTTTGGGTTGGTGATTATGGTTATTGAGCACCAATGTAAAGCACCACACCAGCAACCACTGAAAGAACAAGTGTAAAGGTTAGTTGACACTTCTGGATCACAACTCTTGTGTAAAAATCAAAGCAATGACGGAAATCATTAAGTCATCACAGTCATCACAGTTGTTGATAACTAATCAGTGCAGCTATTCCGACACAATGGAAAACAACATGAAACATACAGGTTAGTCCTTCCTCTGCTTCACATCTCGAAGCAATCTCAAAGCTCTGCTACAGTAGCTGGACAGCATCACTGAATATAGTGATCAAAATGATATAGTTGTGACTGAACATAGAAAAATGTTTATACACGGCCACTTTGCCCTCGATAAAGTTAAAATGGCACTGTGAGTGATGGATAAAATTAATATTCAAGTAAAAAAAAGAAACAAAATGTAAAACATCCAATCTTGGCATCACCTCCACTGACGCTGATGGAAACTCACAGGTGAAACACACTAACTGACAAATGTACTGTACTGGCAGCGTCTCACGTTACAGTTTATATACAAGTTAGAGAACAGAAAGAAACTCCACCAGAAAGAAGAAACTTGTCTTTTTTTGTAATGCATTCTATACACTCAGTTCACCCTTTTTAACAGCATCAGCTGTGGAAGCCCATTTCTGCCAGTGTGATCCAAGAAAAAGATCCTGTCAGTCAGTACGATGAGAAACTTTCTCAAAATAATGACTTGCATATCTCAATGACTTTGAGAGGCTAAGCTCTTTTTAAAAGTTTTCATATATTTTTTGAAATATTACCTCATTATTTTGAGATACTAATTAATTATTTTGGGATACTTATTATCTCAGCATACGATCTCATTTTGAGATACTAACTTGTTATTTTTGAGATACTACATTGTTATTTTGAAAGACTAATTAATTATTTTGAGATACTAATTAATTATTTTGGGATTCAACTTATTATGAGATATAACCTCATTATCTTTGAGATCGTACCTCATTATTTTTGAGCTATTACCTCGTTATTTTGAGATACTTCCTCATTATCTTGAGGAACTAATTCAATATTTTTGAGATAATAACTCGATAATCATTATTTTGGGATTCAACTTATTATAAGATATATCCTCATTGTCTTTGAGATATTCCCTCATTTTGAGATACTACCTCATTATTTTGAGATACTAATTCATTATTTGGAATGCTAACTTGCTATACTATAGATACTAACTCATTATTTTGAGATACTATCTCATTATTTTGAATCTAATTTATTATTTTGAGATATTACCTCATTTTGAGATACTACCTTGTTATTTTGAGATACTTATTCATTATTTGGAATACGAACTTGTTATCTTGAGACTCAAACTCATTATTTTGAGATACTAAAGAATTATTCTGAGACTCTACATCATTATTTTGAGATGCTACCTCGTTATTTTGAGATACTACCTCGTTAGCTTGAGATATTTCCTCCTTTTTTTGAGATACTTACTCATTTTGAGATACTGCCTCATTATTTTGGGATACTAGCTCGTTATTTTGAGATACTACCTCATTATTTTTGAGATAGTAATTTAATATTTTGAGATACTGACTTATTATTTTGATATACTACATTGTTATTTTGAGAAAGCAACTCATTATTTTGAGATACTAATTTGTAATTTTGAGATACTACCTCATTATTTTGATACTAGTTCATTATTTTGAGAAACTAATTCAACTTTCGAGATACTACCTCATTATTTTGATACTAGTTCATTATTTTGAGATACTACCTCATTATTTTTGAGACTCTCATTTCCACTACAAAGTCATTATTATGCAAAACTACCTTGGTATTTTGAGATACTACTTCATAATTTCAAGATACTAAGTCATTTTTTTTGAGATATTAAGACATTTTTTAAGACAATAACTTTATTTTGAGAAAGTTTCTCATTATAATGACTCACAGGGTCTTTTTCTGGCGGAAATGGTCTTCCATACATCCCCACCAACACAGAGCATAGTCAATACACAACTCAAGGTTGCTTTTGTTCCCCCTTTAACATCTTGTGATTCGGACATCGACGGCATTGAACATTCAGTCGTGTCCTAATGCACTTGTTGATGTCTGTTTGTCCTTTTAATTTTTTTTGTATAAGGTAAGATGGATGTTTTTGAAAGGAGGGAAGGGTTGGTCTGCTGGTCTACAGTGCAAATAAACGGGTAGGAGCGTCTGCACACCATTTTATCTAAAGAATGCTACATTGCCTCATCTATTGATGAAATCCTAGTAATACTTCACTGTCTGGATCTACTGCATACTGTAAATACTGGACATGTTGGCTGCACATACACCAATTAACACTAAATCTAGATTTACTTGGCATTCTTTGAAATTATTCTGTAATTTCTTGTGAGGCAAAATGTGACTGTTATAGTTTGAAAAGTGCTACCCAACCACCACGATGTAACAGCGGCAGCATAAAGGCCTTTATCTCCTCCCTTTCGTCCACAGTGTAAACTAACAGACCCCGGTCTGAAGCTTCAGCACCCTCCTTCTTTGTGCGACACTTTTATCTTTTTTTATTTATTTTTTTCTTGAGCATAACAAAACCGTGCAAGCACAAGCCCCCCCAAAAGAAAAACCATTTGTAAATCCACCATGGCAATTCATTAAAAATGGGGGCTGTATGAGCTGCAGTTGCTGGACCGCACACATCTGTACATCTTCACGGTTTTACCTCTGTTCAAAACTGCAGTGCCATTCTGGGTGTTTTTTTAATTTTTTAGTCAGCATAGTGCATGATCGACTCGACGTAGTTTCCTGGGAAGAGTCCGGTGACGCCGTTACAGACACCTTCGAACCAGCCGTCATCGTTTTTCTTGATTATGTAGATGATGGCTCCTTCCATGAAGGACAGCTCATCCTCCTTGTCCTTGCTGTAGTCATAGATGGCCACAACTGGGAGAAATAACAGAAAGTTGTCATTACAAACCAAATTTACAGGGCGGCTCCATTGTTAGTATGAGGTTCCTACATCGTTCTGTAGTTTTCCAGTAGTGTTTCTTATGTATTCAAATCTGAAAATTCAAATTTTGGTCGAAGTACATATCTTTCAGCGTCAAAATGCTATTTTTCTGAGCCCTTCTGAAAACTTTCTCCCACATGACCTGACGCAGGTTTCCACATGATGTTGCTGCTACATATAAACCCACATATTGACTGTGTTTACAAGGTCTTTAGTATCCCGGTTTTGAGGCTTATCCCGGCTTTGAGCATATCCGGGATATGATGTTTACATGGAACACAGAGAAACCTGGTTATTCATATCCCTGTATACATGATAAATACCAGTAACCCGTTTTCTGATCACTGCGCCCTATCTGCGCAGGCGTGTGTTACGTCTTTTACATCTTTTGTTTACAACAGATTGAGCGGGAAATGTGATATATTTATTATATTTACAAGTAAGACAAAAATGAGACCTCTGTGGCTTCTAGGGGCTTAGCGTTAGTAAATACTCACGTCACATTACAGCTATGGCTCATCCACTTCATCTTCAGCAATGGGAGGAGAGAGTGACAACAAATATTGAATACGTCACCAAATTTGATAGGCATTCGGCTGTTACTGCCACCGCACAATACAAGGCAACAGTGGATGAAAAGACGTAGCCGTGACTGGTGGGAAAGGATCGTTCTCATGGAGTTTACAGATTCAGAGTGGAGAGAAAACTTCAGAATGAGTAGGGCATCCTTCAGCCGGCTGTGTGACGTAGGTTGAATGGTTGAACCATTCATGAAACCGGGATAAGGTGCATACATGCTCCAGTATCCCGGCTTCTATCAGAGTACTCCAGGTGGCAAAACTGGGTTTCTTGAAACCGGGAAAAGGGCATAACCCGGTTTCTGAATTCGGGATATGGCGTTTACATGCACAAACACAAAAACGGGATACTTAAAAAATCCAATCAAAACCGGGATACTAAAGACCTTGTAAACACAGTCATTGTCACTGTGAATGCCACATTAGCTCTGCCGAAAATCACACAACAACACAAACAAACTAAACAAGCAAGTCGGCGGTAGACCAGCAACTCCTGTGTGCTGTGAGGTAAAATTACTGGTTTTCTCAATGGAGTCTGGTGGCTTTGAAGACAGCAATATAATGGCTTCAGTTCCCCCTTGGAAAGAGCTGTCAGACGGCAAGGTGAAGCCATGAAATAATCTAAATACAGTGTACACTTAAACTGATGTTGTTGTTTTTTGGTTGGTCCTTTTTTTAAGTGGCTTAAACATGTTCTGCTGCTGCTCCCGTCCACAGCCACCAGACTCTTTTGACAGAAACAGTAATTTTGCCTCGCAGAACACAAGGAGTTTCTGGTCTACCGCTGCCTCTGATCAGTTAGTTAGTGTTATTCAGCCTTTCCCATAGAATAGGAATCTATGTATGTATGATGGTAGCTTTTTTTTTTTTGCCTGTGTCTTTGCTAAGTTAACACTCTTCTCAACCCCCATGCATCCACTGTCAGTGAACGGCGTGTGTGCAAGGTGAAGGCATCAGCGCAGATGGCCCTGCCCTTAAAATAGTTTTTTTTTAATATTTAAGATCAAGTAAAGTGGAAAACTGTCACTAACCTTTCTCTAAATAAACCTTGGGGGCCCAGTGGGGGTCTCCGTCAGCGTAGGGATCGCTGTAATGAACCACTGCGGCCTCCTCTTCCTCATAGTCCACAGGTGGAGGAGGAGGAGGGGGAGAGGGCTCCTCAAACACACCCATGTCCTCTGGGGGAGGCGGAGGAGGCGGGGCGGGGCTGTCTGTTACTGAAAGAGGACAAACAGTGAAGGAGATTTAGAATCAGACAAGACGGGAAAATTAAATGAGAAAAAAGCAAGAGAGAGTGCACAGATAATGTGTTTGCTGCTGGAGATACATTTTGAAATGTACTGCAGTGACAGATGAGGTCAGGAGAGCAGAGTGTGTGTTTATATTCCATTCCCAAAATTCAATACTTTTCCACAATCTCTTGTATTTATTTATTGGCTGGATTGGGTCAGAGTGCAACATGGAAAAGCAATCTGTTATAAGAATTTGATCCTATAACTATCTTCAGCAACAACAAATGTCACCATGTAGAGGGACAATGAGACTATACTTCAGTGATAACTAGCATCAATTTTTAGATTTAAACGAGCGTACGTATTATCATGTCACCTGTTTCATATTGACAACCATCACCTAGACCAGGATCGTTCAACTACACTGAACAAAAATATAAACGCAACACTTTTGTTTTTGCTCCCATTTTTCATGAGCTGAACTCAAAGATCTAAAACATTTTCTATAAACACAAAAGACCATTTCCCACAAATACTGTTCACAAATCTGTCTAAATCTGTGTTAGTGAGCACTTCTCCTTTGCCGAGATAATCCATCCCACCTCACAGGTGTGGCATATCAAGATGCTGATTAGAGAGCATGATTATTGCACAGGTGTGGCTGGCCACAATAAAAGGCCACTCTAAAATGGTCTTTTGTGTATATAGAAAATGTTTTAGATCTTTGAGTCCAGCTCATGAAAAATGGGAGCAAAAACAAAAGTGCTGCGTTTATTTTTGTTCAGTATATGTTGTTCAACGGGCCACATTTTCAGAAAGCAAAGGGCCTGGTGGGGTTGGACATCTCCCTTCTCATTATGTATTTACACTTGACTCAACACGCCACCACACTTTCAAAACTTCTTTTTCTCTACATCGCAATTTACATTAACTATTTTTACATTAGTACAACCTGTTAAGCACAGGGTGCATCTAGCAGCTGGTGGGAACGTGCAGCACCTGATTCGTCCTTGTTTAGAAGGAATACGCTGGCAATCCAGGGACTCAACAATGGTCTTTATTTACCACAACCAGGAAGGGACAGCAGTATTTAAAATAGTTGGATAGGATGTGTTGGAAATATCAGGATATACATATATGTGTGTGTGTGTGTGTGTGTGTGTGTGTGTGTGTGGTTTGTTCATACAAATGCACACCAGTCTACATAAAGGGAACAGAGGAACTTCTTGCTTGCTGCTTTGGAGGTCTGCACAGACTAACGCAGCCATAAAGTGACACATGATCAACCTAGGGCTGCTGGGAAATGGTGTTCTTAAGAGATAACAAGGAGTTTATTACACAACCTCTACCTACAACCTCTGTCCTGTCTGCTGTCAAAGTTTCACTGAATTTTCATCACAACCGCTAGCGATGGCCAAATGAAGCCCCATGAAGCTTTTTCTTTATTTTCTGAGCCCACTACATGGCACTCATGGTTTAAAGCGAGAGGCTCAAAGAATGGCAATTCAGTGTGCTTTCAACCTTTTGTTGAACAAAAAGCGCCACCTAGTGGGCTCAGAAAATCAAGAAAATGCTTCATGAGGCTTCATTTGGCCATCACTAACGGCCGCTGGTCTCAGCAATATTTTTTACAGAAATAGTTGGTGTCAATGGTTTATTTTTGGCTAAATTTTAAATGAGACATGTAGAAAAAAGTGATTTTGAAGCTTAGATATGGCTACGTTTCCTTGAAGGAACTGTTCATCACACATGATGCATTCATGGATCATTGGAAATTTAAAAATCCGAAGATAACAATTTCTGTTTTAACAATGTCTGTCTGTGATAAATGGTGAAATTTTAATTTATTTATTTATTTATTTTTAAGAGAAAATATGCCTTTCAAACAAACTGGTGGGTTGTGGGGTTCAGGGATGGAGATACAATCGCTCAGCAGGTTTGGGGGATTTATTGTGGCAAAATGTCAGTTATTCACATGATTTTCTTCTTCAGGTTTTTGTAAATTGTATTTATTTGTACATAGAACTGATCGGCGCGAGGGCTGTCAAATATGCCTGACGTAGACCAAGAGAAACCTTCAGGAATCTTGTAACTGTGAAGACTTCAGTGTTTAAATGTTCACTAGAGGGCAGCTTAGGGCCGTTTCTACTCTCATCCTACAGCATCTACGCAACTACTACTACTACTTGGATTTGAGAAATACTTTTGTGGAAATATTAAATGTATTTAGTTACTGACCTAACTCCCACTCTTGGCTTTGACACAACTTACAAATATGTGGAAGCAGGGGGAGCATATTCTATCATTGATCATTTATATCATACCTAATATAGCCTTTATATAGTTTAAAATACATATCAGTGTTTTTTCTTCTCAAATTTGCCTGCAGCTCTTGGAAAACCAGACACTGAAACACTGCAGATCGCAAGCTGTCCAGGACACTTGGCGCAGCGCTGTGTCCAATGTGAACAGTCCAATCGGTTAACATGGGCGCCGAAAACAAGTGGGCAACGCTCCATGGAAAATTGGCTCACTTTGAAGCACTTCTGCATCAAATGTGAACCCAGTGTTACTTTTAGACATTCACAAAGTTTGATTTGTATTTTAGTTTTCCCCTGAGAAATTAGCAGTGGCATTTTGAGTGCACACTTGAAAAATAAACACCCCGAGTATTCCCTTGAGACAGTTTTGTGTGTGTTTACTCATACAGCTCGGGTGCTTATGTGTCTGAAGGCTAAAAGTTCAGCAGAAAAAGACCCATCGTCTCCTTCTGCGTGTTCACACAAGTACGAGGTGGTATATTGGGCAGATCTGTGTTTTACTCCAAGTGCAATTTTAAAAGCTTGACTTGGCCCTGACACACTGATCCACTGGTGCTACAGTCTTCAGTCCTTTAAACACATTTGTGCTCAAGATATGAGCGTCCTCCTGGAGCGAGTCTCCCTGCAGGCTTACACCCACAAGTTCAGGGATAAAAGAAAAGCTGCACCTCTTATCTAACTAATTCATAAGCCTGCTCCTGAATTAAACAAACTGCAATAATGCACCAGAGGTCTGAATTTAAAGCATCTCTTCAATTCCAATCTGCTTACGTACCTTTTTTTTTACTGGTCTAACAACTGACTTCAAATCTGTTTAAGCATTAAGAGCAGAAAAAGCTTCAATATATAACAATAGCTGTCTTAGATTTTATTGGTCCAATCCATTACAACCCTTTAAGGTCTGTGTAAACCCCAGCATACATTACATTTAGCTGGAGTCTGCTGTGTAGTTGGCAAGAGGTATATCTTATCAATCATTCTCAAGGAAAAAAACTGTAATAATAGTAAATTACAACTGAGGCAGACAGAAAAAGGAAGCAGTCTCTATTAAAAAAAACATTTAAAAAGCATGTGTGGGTGCCCTTTTTAAGTGCTATCTGGTATTTAAGTGGTATTATATGAGATCAGCATTTCTTGGCTCATTGTTGCGATGTTTTTGCACTTGTTAAATATTAGTGTGTTCAGTGCTGTGACCTCATTTAGACTGCGGCAGTCTTTTCTTTGTTCAGTCGGGGCAGATACTGCTGGTCATACTAACTACCCAAATCTTCTATTTACATATTAATCCCTGATTCTGATGCAGCAAATGCAAAATGGGAGAAAAGCCTGTCCAGAAACTGGCTGTTTGGTTAAGGTAAAAGCTTCATGGATATAAGTTAATAATCTTTGATATAAAAATGTGCTAATTATTAGTTTAAGACCATAAACATTCCTTATCTGACTGTATGACTCATATCCAGTGGCATGCAGCAGTTTGACCAGACAGATACGGACAGTTAGCTCGCCACACAGTTGCATCTCTGCAGACAGGCGGACGTTGAATCAGGACACGGCATCAGGTCACATTTTTCTCTCCTCAGTGGACAGACAGAGCAGGACGCACGCTTTCAGTGATTCATCACCATGGCAACAGACGGTCATCCGAGGTGCGTGTGCTCCCCCTTCGACCCCGAATACAGCTCAAGAAAAGGTGCGCCGAGTGTAGCAAGCCGCAGAGAAGAGTGTGAGAGTGAGAGAGTGTGTGGAGAGCAGTGAGGGAAGATGTGATGAACAACGTTGCTATATGTCTGCATATATGAAGACCTGTTTTACTGAGATCAGTTTACTGATCTGATGATGATAAATGTGCCAGTCACATTTTTTATACATCATTTATTTCCTTTGTAATGCTGGCTCACTTCTTAGGCTGCTTGTATGCTCACTGGTTGAACACGTTACGTGGCACGTTACGTGGCATCGGCTGTTGTAGCTGTTGTCAGATTTATAATGTATGTCACTTAAGTTTTTTTGTCCAGCCCCACCTACTGTGTGTATGTGTTTGTGCTTGTGTGTAGGAGTGAATGTGACTGTGAGTAGGTGGTTGTGAATGTGTCGTGTCATCTTTGTAAGCATGGGATTTTTTTTTAAGAATACATTCTGAGATTTTTGGAAATGCACAGCAGGTATCTGCACAATTGAGTGTGTATATGCAGGGTTTAATGTTCTTTTTTTTTCACTTGCCCAATAGGGGCAAGAGGGTCAGAAATCTACTTCCTCAAAGTCAGTTTTTACCTCAATGCAAATGATTTATTATAGTTATCAAATAACAACGCAGACTTAAGTTAATTGTCTAGAAAAACAACCCTGTTTTATCCACCTTGCTCTCGAACTTGTGCCCAACTGTGCTCTAACGTCACCCATCTGAGCTCCTGTTTCAAGGATAGTTGAAATGCTTGGTTGCACTTCAGCTCATTAACTTTGTCTTTACCCGCAACCATTTTCTCTTGAGTGCCTCATTAGTACTGTGCAATGAGATGGCTCACTCTTTAGCTGCTTCTATCATCAGCTCCTGAAAAACTGTGTTGAGTCCTTTTGTACCATCTGCCTAATCAGGCCAATGAGTTGCTAGATTTACCTGCCTGATGTGGAATCTTATTTGGCCCAGGCAATCGTTACAGCCAAAATACATGGGGCACAGACATGCACAACATGTCTGCCACTGCAATATAATCAACCGAAGCTGCTATACTGACCTGTGGGAGTTGCACTTTAACGCTATATTTACACAGCTGGTCTTTTGTTTTTTTCTCTCTAGGCGCAGCTTTAAATTATCTTTTTAAAAAGGATTAAAATGAATTCCGGATGTCTTGATCAAGTTTTTTTTGGCCCCTAACCTGATCTGAGTCATTTAATATTGAGAATCTGCAGAGTGCACACTTCAAGTACTTTCAAGTTATTAAAATCAATCGACTGTCTCAAGCCTATCCTCCAGTGTTTATAGCTTCAGTGCAGCCTGTGTCTGAGCCGCGTGACAGCATTTACTGTCATCGTCTGGACTTATTTGCACGACTTGATTAAGAAATTACTCTTACTGGCTTTTTGCTTGAGGGGCTTTTGTTGAGTTTGGTGAGCGTGGTTGTCGTCTGTCTCTCCCCCGAGCAGGGCGGTGACACACCACATGCCATAGGTGACAAACAGGCAGTTTGTCACTGAGCTAAAATGAAACTAGTGCTCATAACTCCGTTAGTTAACATACACAGTCTCATTCTGTGTTTTGCTTTTGTTAATGACTTGTGGGTGTCGCCGTGGGTGGTGCGCAGTCCCTGCTCGTGCACGGGGGCTCAGCAAAGTCGAGAGGAGCAGCAGAGAGTTTGGGAGTTGATGATGGCTGCACTCATTGCATTGCTGTGCATGAAAGCTTCATGAGTAAAAAACACCAGCTGACATTAAATAAAGGATCGGATCCTCTGTACAGCTCAATATAGCCGATCCCGATCAGTTAAACGCCTTGATCGGCCCTGATCTTTGAGATAATATCTCAGTTGGCAAAATTCAATATGCACAAAATCTGGCATGTAACCAGATGCTACAAAGATGGAGTCTGTGTAGCAGGTATAAAACCCTCCCTGCCGACGTGACACGTCGTATCCATTCCCCATGTATTTCAGCTGTTATTGTTGAGCCCTGCTGTGTGTGTGCTGCATATAGTGGATCTGGTAACACTCATGTATGCATGTCTGCTTAAGTGAGTGTACATGCATATCTTGGTATGGATTTTCTACTTACTGCTCTCCTGCATTCTGGCCACAAAGCCGGTCAGAGGGATCTGTGGGGTCAGCTGGACCATTGGAGGAGGAGGCGGAGGAGCCACAGACACTGGAGCAGCAACACCAAAGAGAGGCAGACAAAGCAGCAGAGAGACAGAGAGCGATGGAGGTGGTGGACAGGGGGACAGACAATGATGAGGAAAGAGCAAACAGACGAAGTCCAAATACAGAATGGAGGAAAGAGAGGAGGGGAAAAAAAGAAACAAAAAGCTTGTGAGTGAGCGAAATAGTGCAGGAAGCATTGCTGAGCAAATCATTTACACACTCCAATCAGTGCTCCTTTGTGCTGCAGTTTTCAAGCTGGGCTAAAGAGGAATTCATCTCATCTCAGTCTGAGAATCTACCTCATCAGCATCCGTTTTACGTCAAAAGCAAGGGCTGTACAGTGTCAGAGCTGCAAAGCACTACAGGAACCCAAAAAACACGACAGCGGCAGGGTGACAGCTCAGACGCTGTGTGTGGTAGGAATAACAAAGCAGAGATCTCAAAAAAGCATTTACAGGTAGAGCTGCAGCGTCTGTAATTTCATTAAATGCTGAAGTAGTGAGGTATGTCTGGATCAAATGCAGCATTTAGTGCAATCACACACTTTATTGGCAGTCCGAGCATTTACATAATCTCCATATTCTGCCTCTGAAATGAGGCTATTTGTTGCATTGTCTTAACACCAACAGACAAACACAGCTGTCCTCACTCAAAGACATGATGTCACAAACATGCACGCCAGGTCTGACTCATAAATCGCATGTAATGGAAGGGCGTCTGTAGTCTCACTGGGCAGTAATGTCTTATTATTCCACCCTGCTCTCACCACACAGCCACATCCATCCACAGCTAAGGTACGCCCCGTGAGATCAATGAGCTCCCTCATGTGCTGGCACTAGCTTTTCGTGCTGTAGAACTTCCATTATATTCGCCAGGAATCCGAACGTATCTTTCACTTTAATTAAATTTCAATGAGTGGAATCACGGAGATCATAAGATGCCCCAGTTTAAGTCCCTGGTTGATACAGCTCTGAATCATTGTTTCTCCTCTCAGACGAGACAGGCAGCCTCCTCCTTCTGTGCCAAGGAAGATGCTCGTCCTTTGAGAGGGAGAAGCCATTAGAGGAGAATGGCTCAGAGTGATGCCTGCCAAAATAAATTCTACTCTTCTGACAGAGAATATGCATATGTCCTGGGTTTCCCCTTGTCTAGTAGCTATTTATTGTATGTGTCGTCTACTCTGTTCTGCCTCTCTGTCTCTTCCAAACATGAAGCCTTGTACAGCTGACTTTAGTGATAATGTCATAACTCAGATACAAACAGTAATGAAACACTGAGCACAGCAGTGCTGAGGTGGGAAGGTTTCAACAACCCTGACTTAAGTAATTATGGTTCATCATTCATTTTCATTAGCCACAGTAAGAGCCTAGCCAGTGCATATCTTTTAGACCCAGAGGACAGTTTTTGGCAGTTTCACATAATTATAGATTGTGGAGTTGAAACAATGACAACTGCCAAGAATGGATGGTTACATTAATACAAGCTTCCTCACCACTTTATACATATCTAGGTCTCTGGTGATAACCACAATATTGCTAATCTTGCTTATGACCAGCCAGCCACAGTGGACGGCACGCAACTACCACAGCCGCTATGCGTGTTTTTTTTACCTTTTTCATGGGAGCGCCACGTATTTACACTCTGCTACAAATGCCAGCAGCGTGATGAGGCACCAGCCGTCTGTCTGTTCTGCACTGAGCGCTGCACATTTGCCTTTTTTCTGGTTGCTGAGAGTTAGAAAATATTCAACTTTAAGTCAAACACTGCAGCTGCTCTCATTTTTTACCCACCAAACCAATCAGAGTGGAGGAGGGGCGGGACAAATAAGACTAAGACCAACCATCACATCCCTGAACAACAACAATGTAGACAAATACTGAACCCACACAAACCGGTGGGTCCATCCTCTCTATGTGCTTCAGTCTTCCCGTCATCCAGAGCAAGTACTCTAGCTCAGTGGTTCCCAACTGGTCCAGCAACAGGGTCCACATCTCTCCTTAGTCATTAGTTCAAGGTCCACACAGTTGAATACATTCAGCGTTATACTTGCATTTGGCCATGTCGTTGAGCTAGTTTGCTGTCTCTGTCAAGTAGCTGTCTGTTAGTCACTCACTCTACAGCATTTCAAAATAAAAGCTCTGTGCCAGAAATTCACCGTACTTCAATTCCATTTATAATGGACCCAGACCCACTTTTGGACTGCGACCAACCAGTTGGGAACCACTTCTCTAGCTTGAGCTGACCAAGCCCCCAGGAACAGCGCCGTGCTTTGAAACCAGTTTTTCATTGTGGCCAGATGAGGAATTACACTTTCTGGGTCCATCACATGAAGCCAAAGAGCCCAAAAAGATTTCTTCCCATTGACTTACATTGGGGAAGAGACATCTATAAATCAGTGGATACATTTTTTTGGGGCGTTGCAGCCCTGCAAAAGACTTGCTTCAAGAATTTGATGCTTCTGGTCCGATAACATTTCAAAAGTCTAAAAGACATACACGATTTGATCATTTGATCCTTATTCAACCAGAGATAGCCGCTCGGCCAGCGGACGTCTATAGTATATTTGCACTATGGGCACCACAATGTGGAAGATCAGGGTAATTTTATACCCCCAAAATCAAGCTTTTATGGCTTCATGCACCACTGAGCAACTTGCATAGGAATGAACGGGGCCCGCCTGCAATGCTGTGTCCATGTGTCTTCATACAGCCATGGTGACGACATTTTTACTTCTGTGGATATTCTGTATCATAGCAACCAGATGTAACCAGACCATATCAGCAAAAAAAAAAAATACTGCCACCCCTGTTGCATCTTGTTGCCTTTCTGTGTTCTGCATTTAACAAACAAGCATTTAGTTTTAAAACTATGTCATCTTTATCATTTATAAAGCAATAATATACCTAATTATAACCTAACAATAAAGCTTATTTCTGAAGCACTGCAAAAAGAACAAGAAGTGGTGGTAATACTGTATATCGTGCCGTTTAGCCACCCTTTATCACTGCAAGGGAAATTCCTTCACCACAACAGCCCTTTAGATACCTACTGCAGATAGTGATGGCCAAATGAAGCCTCATGAAGCTTTTTCTTTATTTTCTGAGCCCACTAGATGGCGCTCATGGTTTAAAGAGAGAGGCTCAAAGAATGGCAATTCAGTGCGCTTTCAACCTTTTGTTGAACAAAAAGTGCCATCTAGTGGGCCCTGCAGAGGGGTCCAAAATGTACTGTTCATGCAAGTTTTATCAGATTAGATGGGACTATTGCTTCACACCAACCATAACATGCACACGTTATTGCTGAAAACATGCATTGAACCTGAGTTACCTGAGTTCTGTGGGTAGGCAGGACCCCCGTTGATGTGGGGCTGCTGGGAGGAGACGGAGGGTGCACGGCGGTAGGTGCCAGTGGCCGACACCATAGAGGCCGAAGAGGTGGTGGAGGAGTTGTGGCGGGAGATCTGGCGGGAGATGGTTCCAAACTGGGACATGGGTATGGGACCCAAGCCGGGGCCCTGTGGCACTGAGGCTGAGGATGTCGCCACTGCAGGAGAGGAGAGACATGGTTATGCAGCCTTAAAACCTCCACCTGATAACTCACTTTTAGTGCTGACTTACTTAAACAATAGCAGTAGTTTCTGGAATAGTTTACATTAACCTTCAGTATATTTCAAGGCAGAATGTGAGTAAAATAATGAGCTGCTGCTGGTTTGATATAAGTGTTTAAATTCAGTTTACTTCAGTCAACACTGCAAATCCACAGAGATTAAAAAAACACAGTAACATAAAACCCTTTTATGCTAAAACACTAATAGCTTATTAGTGTGGATGCTCCAGCAGCCACACTAATAAACTATAAGCCACCATTTTCTTACTGTGTATATCATGATATACTAGTGCAATGCAAGATCCTGTTTCGTTCATAGTCTCAATAACTGATAAGAAAACATTAAAACTCTTCTGAGACAGAAAGAGAATAAGCATATCCCAGGGACTCACTGCACTGAGAACCTGTCAACACCACTGAAAGAGTGACACACAGAGCCTGCAAACATCCATTACTGTAAACAGCAGTGTGGACACCTGTGATGAGCAGTGAGGCTACAGCTGCTGGGACTCACCTTGCCCCATACTGGGAGGGGATGGGGTGGGAACTGCTAAAGGAATACCAACTCCACTGCCTCCGCTGTTCTCCCTGCCGCCACTTCCACCACTGCTGCCACTGCAGAGAGAGACAGAGAGTGTCTTAGTGGTGATCATTAGAGGATGTGTGAGACAAACTTAATTACACGACAGCGTTTGACATCCTATCATTATTCCCTCATATGTCATTCTGTCATAACAATATTCTTGTCACTGTGGCAACAGATTCACAGCTCTGTGGATGTGCTGCGTGCACCGTCTGGCACATTCACACATGAATACTGGGCACTAATCTCAGAGCACGCAGTCACATTTGCAGTTACACAGTGTAACAAAAACAAAACGAGAGCCAAGGCTTGTTCTGAATTCATAAAGAATCGTGTTCAAATCTAAAAAGCTCTGACTAGAAGATGCTGGATTGTACATTAAACAAATCACTAGTGCCTTGAATTTGAAATATGAGTGTAGTTATCATTAGCAAGCCGGGGCAGATAAGGGATATAAGATAAATATCATGCTTGGAGACAATTAATTTAAGTCACCCTACATATTAAGTTTTAAGCAGGTTATTACAAGAAAATACAAGTTAAGGTGGCAAAATCCAAAAGGTAGACATTGTGCGCAAACACAGTTTATCTTTATGAATTATATTGATGCCGAATTGACAAGAATACAGTGGACATGTGATGCCTTTTATCTGGTGATTCTAGAGTTATGTGGTTTTGCAGAAACATAAGGAATTGTTAATGTGTCATGTGTCCTAAAGGGAGTTTGGCGTAATATTTTCACCAGGAGCAGGATGGGAAATAATCTCTAAAGGAATGCAGTTGTAGTCTTGCAAACTGTGGCCCAGTCTTTGCAAATTCTTACAGTCTGTGACTAAAAACTAACATCGTCTTTACATGTCAAGGGTGTCAGACTTGTCTAGTCTTTTCAAAGTCGTCTAGTGTATGGTAAGTACAAGAGATATGTGTAAAGACGATAAGACATGTCAGTCAGTTAAGCCTGGTCTGTTCATGCTATCATAGTCCTGAGGACAGGTCTAATTGGGCATCACTGAAAACACCTGCGTGTGGGCCCTCCTAGTGAGACAAGTCACAGGTAATAGGCCTTTTTTTCCACAGCAGACATGTTGACATGTCACAGTAGGAAAAGCACAGGTGTAAATAATTTAAATCAGTGATGGCTGAATGGTGCATTCCATTACCCATACTATCTGCTATACTGGGAAAATTCTTTTAGGGTGCGTTCCGAATCACATACTTTTTCTTTTTACTTTCAGTAGGTACTGCAGCTGCCCTTAAAAAGTATGTATTGTTGCATGCAGTATGCACACGAGTAGGACACACTACTTTCTCATAACATTAAGCCCTGAACTTTCACCATCTTGCTTATCACCATCTTGTTACCATGGGGGTAGAAGATAATGCCACTTACCAGGATCACCAGAGATGGAGATACCCTGAAGAGCTCTGCAGTTGTTACTTTGCAATGTATGTAGTTTAACCTTAAGGTTATAACTGCACAGATTGTAGATTCTAACATATTATATTCAACACAGTGAAACTACATCTGCAGTTCTCTGTCAGTTATGTCACAGTTATGTCCTATTGTTTTTAATATGTATGATTATTTTGTTCACTTAAACAATTAATATTCCTGTATTTATTGTTCCACTGGTCATAGGTTACTTGCTGTCATCCATTGTTGCAACTTCTGACAACTGTTAATGAGCTGTCATCTGTGGGTCAGAATAGCCAGAGAAGCATGCTGGCTTGCATACTGTAAAATCGAACCAGATGTAGTAGAACATGCTGGTATTTTTGGCATACTGCATTTGACATACTATGTATTGGGAGCTATGAAATCTTTTTCTGGCATACTATATGGTATGGTAATATGAGTATTGGAACGCATGCAACAGTATGAACTTTGTAATGGCAGCTGCGGTACGTACTGATAGTAAAAAGAAAAAGTATGTGATTCAGAATGCAGCAGCTGTTTCATGGTCCTGGTACAGTGCATGCTGGCTCACTGTCAAACTGCCACAGCTTACTGGAGCACTTGAATAGAACAAGAGAGTCATCACTGTTATTAGTAACACTTGTGCTTCTCCTACCATGTCAGGTCAAAATGTCTCTATGAAAGGGTTAATTAGGGCTTGCTCCCTGCCTACTACATGTCTATTTTACGTTGCATGTTTCTGGTTTAATGTGTATTGTGGTGCAATTGGTCTCATTAAATTAAGCTCGTTAAATTCAGGCGTCTATTCTACCTGTGTGTCCGGGGCCTCTGGTTGAGTGAGGCTGTGCGTGCAGGGCTGTGCTGGTTGCCCAGTCGGGCCGGGCTCGTCATGTAGTCATTGGGTACCACTGGAGGCTTCACTGGCTCCAGAGTCTTGTAGGGAGTGTTACGCCTAGATACAGATAAACAGACAAAGGACACAGTTAATCCTCTATGTTTTTATGAAGTCAGAAGAGGTGCTTTGGGCTTTTACAGACACTGCTCATCGTGCTAAATGAATGAATTGTCTCAGATTTACAGTATTAATAAAGGTATAATGGCAGAATACATATACACAGAATAAAAAGATCCAATGGTATTTTAAAAATGACTACTATGACTTTATATCGTTACCCCAGGGTACCACGACCAGCCATAGGGGGGCTTGGGGGTTTCTGTGTGGGTGGGGTGGTCCTGGAAAGCGTGCCCCCTCTTCCTGCTGCATTGTTCCCATGTTGCTAGAGGAGCAAAGACAAGTTAAAAACATTGCTTTTGTATTATCTGAGTTGCTGACACCAGTGTTTCCCCTGCCAATGAATATTAAGGCTGAGGAGTCATTTAAACATGTAATGACTAAGCAAAACTTTATTAGTTTCAGATGAGCATCTCCTCTTAAATTTCAACCACGCAAAATTCTTAGGAGAAACACTGGCACAAAGGCTTTTCTGTCCACACACACAAATATGAAGACACAGAGTAGGAGACAAAGACAGATATGAGGGGAGAGAACAGAAAGCAGCACTACGTAGGTGACTGGCTGCCTTTGTTGGGGAATTGTGCATGTAAAATGGGATGTCACTCGTCACTCTGTATGTGGATGACAATATAAAAGGACATAGGAATATGTGTTAAGGGTAATTACTGTAAATATTAAATATAATGTTTAATTTACCTTTTTTTTTTTACATGGACTGTAACATATATAGAGAGCCTATAATATATTCATGGTAGAAGTTCACACCAGGTTTATGCTGTTATTTTTTAATCTGGGCCCTATTTTTTCATGTTTTGTGTCTAAGTGATTAAGGGGAACAATGATTTTTCAAAGTGGGCCAGTATTGAGCAAGACTGCTTCAGCCAGCAGTAACGAAACAGGCGGCGATATAACCATCAGGGTCCTGTGCATCAATTTACAGCCACTAAAAGTGGTTGTTTTTGCCACTGACAGGCTCAGATTGTTATTTTAAGTATCTGACAACAGTATGGAAAGGATCCCTACAGAGAGAGATCCTTTTGTTAAAGAGTAAATTCCTTTTTGATTAACCAGAAGCAGCCCTGAAATCGTGCTCGCCAAAGCCACCAGACTCCATTTAAATACCCAGTAATTTCATCATCATAAAACACACTTTATTTAAAGTTGACAGAAACAAAATGAGACTCACAAAGGTCATCCTGGTTCCTCTTTCCACTGTTCCAACAATCACCAACTCAGGTTTTGTTGAAATAAACTTTTGATTCACCCAGTTAGATGTGAAAGTATGCTGACTCTGTACATGCTAAAATTACTGTTTATTTAAATGGAGTCTGGTGGGTGTGTTGATAACAATTTCGGGTCTGTTTTTGCCTAAACTGAAAGGATCTTTAACAACAAGGTCTATCTTTGAGGGGGTCCTCTCCATAATTTTTGTCAGACATAGACAACCCCGAAATTGCCATCACCAAACCCACCAGACTCCATTTAAATAAACAGTAATTTTAGCATGTATAGAGTCAGCATACTTTCACATCTAACTGTGTGAATTAAGGGTTTATTTCAACCAAACCAGAGTTGGTGACTGTTGGAACAGTGGGAAGATGAGCCAAGGCAGTTTTGGTGAGTTTTATTTCATTTCTGTCAACTTTGAATGAAGTGTGTTTTACAATGATAAAATTACTGATTATTCAAATGGAGTCGGGTGGGTTTGGCAGTAGCATTTTCAGGGCTCTTACTCTTAAACAAAAAGGTCTACATCTGTATGGATCCTTTCCATACTGTTGGACATTTATAATAACAACACGAGCCTGTCAGAGGCAAAAACAAGAACTTTAAGTGGATGTAAGTTGACGGTGCGAACATGCCCCGAGTGGCTACATTGCAACCTGTTTCGAGGCTGCTGGTTGAAGCCCTCTCCCTAAATACTGGATCAATTTCAAAAACTGCTGATACCATAAGTCTTTTAGACAGAAAACATGGGAAAATTGGGTCCAGGTTGAAAAATACCACAGTCACCCTGTCATGTCACCCTGCTGACTTTGTTAATGTTAAACAGGAAACAAGAGATAAACACACATTCAGTGAAATGGTAACTGCTTTGTTGTATCATAACACAAAAGCTTTTTCTTGGAATCATATTGTTCTATTTTTTGTACATGTTTTTACACATGAGACATGGATACCTTGACTTGGTGGAGTTTTATCAATACATGATAAAAAGAAGAGAAAGACAACCATCTCTTACCTTGGCCTTAAGCCACTGAGTGCAAGCAGGCAAAAAAGGGAAGACAGAAAACAAGATAAGCTCATTGGTTGAAGGTTAAAAAAGTGAGATTAGTGAGAGCAAGTGTGAATTTTAAGCAGCACGCATGAACCCCATCTATTTTTCATTAACACAGTTTTATATACAGTATATAAAGCTGAAAGAGCACCATGAAGAACAAAGTAGATGGAGAAGAGAAAGGAAGGAGGACATCTAAGAGACTAATACAGTCTCTAAGGTCATAGGAAATATGCAGGCGTAAAATAAATCTGAGTCAAAAAGCCCCGTGTTGCCTACTTGAATCTGGTTGGATGGAAAAAGTTACACCCACGCAGACCCAACCTGTTTGAATAGACCAGCCAGCCCAGTGACCAGAATACAAAAAAATAGGGAGCTAAAAATCTGTGTTAGATTAGAAGGCCCATTCCTTTCTTATGTGTGATGTGTGTGTCAGTCTGTCAGCTGCCGTGTGTGTGTGTGTGTGTGTGTGTGTGTGTGTGTGTGTCCCTGTGAAAATACATTGCTGCTCTACAAGCTATCAGTGTAATCACCAGTGTTGGTGTCATTAAAAAGTAAAGCACTACTTTACCTAATAACTCCCTGATGAAAGGAATTCGTTACGCCTGTTGTTACCTTACATTTACTCCACAACATCGCCTGAGACACAGTCACATAATTGCCACTTAATATAACGTCAAACCTCACATATGCCCACGTATCAGCACAAATCCCCATCCTAATAAGGAGGAAATCCATTAGATGATGACAGACTTCTAAGGAAAACGTTTAAATGGAACATGAACCGCATTTAACAGGCCAAACACACTCACTCGAGTCACTCACTCCCCCAACCATGCCTTTATATTCGATTTGTCCAGTTTATTTGACATGTTGATCCCTAAAGCAGCTGTTATACCTCATGCGGAGAAGTCTCTCAAATTGTTGCTCAGACAACCTGTTCCGCCGTGGAGTCAGCACCTGACTGCGCAGGATGAAGAGCCTATAAACGGGTGCACAAGCTAGCGCCGCTGTTGTTGCCATGTTTCATGATTTTTTTCCTATCCTTTCATTATGCAGATGACTGAAGAACTTATGTCACACAGGTAATGACATAATTGTTTGATTAGTAACAGTAATGTGATTCCACTTATGTAAAGTGGATTGGCATCAGGGACACTGCCCTAAAATGGTTCAAATCATATTTATCGAAGCAGTCTTTATTAGTCACCATTGGCAATGCCTTATCCTCTGTGACCCCTCTGACCTGTGGTGTTCCCCAATGCAAAGTCTTAGGGCTGCTGTGAAACGGCGCCTACTTAGGGCAACAAAAAAGTTTATCTTGGGTGCGTCGGTACAATGGCAGAAGAAATACCTGCACACCAATGCATCCACATAACCAGTCCTTGACTATCTAAGGACTAAAATATTTGCAGCTGTTTTTAATCACTTTTTCTTAATTTTTGCACTTTGAGCGCCCCTCTTTTTGTGCACGGAAGTTCTAAATAATAGACATTTTTTGGCATTGATCTCAGCCTATGAACATTTTTGTGGGTGTCAAGCCCAGTTGACTTGGTGCGTGGGTTTTTCGTCTGCCATCCTTTCGTGGTGTTCCCCAAAGCTCCATCCTTGGCCCCTTGTTGTTCTGCATATACATGCTTTCACTTGGTAACATCATAAACAAATACAGTATCCACTATCATTGCTATGCAGATGACACATAAATATATATGTTCACTAGAAAACCAGTGAAGAATGCAATTTAAATCATCTGCTGAATGTCCCAAAACATTCTCCAGTTAAATTACACAAAATCAGAAATAATCCTCTTCGGCCCACTGAAATCCATCACTATTCTGCAAAACCATCTCTGCCTCTTATCTGCAAATGTCAAACCTTCAGCCAAAAACCTTGGTATGATATTTGACAGTGACCTCTCCTTTGAAAAACAACTTTCAAGCATTGTCAAGTCCTCTTTCTATCAATTAAGAAGCATCTCCAAAATCAGACCCTTTCTCTCTCAGCTCGATCTTGAGAAGGTCATCCATGCTTTGATTTTTTTTCCCAGTTAAACAATACTGCAACTCATTGTATTCAGGGTTGAGCCAAAAAGCCATCTCACGGCTTCTGCTCATGCAAAACGCCACTGCTTGGCTTCAAACAAACACTAGAAGACATGACCACGACCAGGATCAACTAGGAAAACTTGTAACTCTATTTTGAGAAGCACTTTATAAATTAAGGTTATTATTATTATTGTTACTATTATTATTAGAAGTTACCCCAAACACTGGTCATCACACTGGACAAAGTAAATCAGTAATCATTAATTTAGGCAGTTATATTTTCTTCTGATGATTTAATAATACTGAATAATACACAAAGCTCAACCTTTATATTGTTAAAGATCTATTACATTTTGAGCCAAATTGTCATTCTCTTAATGAAGTAATGTATTTTACAACCATTAACAAGTTTTGTCACATTTAGGGCTAAATCTAAGGATTTTCATCATTATTTCATCGGTTTTGTTTATAAAATGCCCCCCACATTTAAAAAAAAAGAAAAAGAAATTGCAATTTCCCTGAGCAAAGTGATATCTTTAGATAGCTTGTTTAATCCGACCAACTGCCCAAAACGTAAAGGCATTTAAATTAAAATGATATACAACAAAGAAAAGCAGCAAATTCTTACAATTGTTACTTGACAAATAATGTAAAAGGTTAACTGACTATCAAAATTGTTGCTAAATCATTTTAAACTGACTGTTTCAGTTTTAATTACATTCTCAACTCTCCTTGAGTCACACTTTATCAAAAATGTATTACAATATTTGCCATATTATGTGTTAAAGTAAAACCTGTTTGGGCTCATCAGCATGAGAATTATTTTTCTATAATGTCAGTCGCTTATATTTACAATCTGACATCTGCCTGCCAGAGACGAAACCCACATCACACAGCCCAGTTTAGGTTTTACACAATGAAGAGGAAGAAATAACTTCCTTTTGTTCCACTTTGTACACAAAAGTTTGAAAAAAATAAGCAGAACATGGTGACACCACCCCTGTGCTTTTAAACACACAGTGAAACAGAGTCTATGTCGGTGTCTAGACTCGTGTTATTGACTGTAATCAGACTGAGAATCACTTACATCACTAGACACACTAGAAATAATGAGCAGTGTCTGAGCTACATGTGGCTGTGCTGATGTATTAAGTGTTGCACTTAGAAAAAAAAGATGGGGCAGTAAAACACAGCGAGGTTGTAAATAACAGCGGTGAGGTGTTCAGACTGTCGGAGTGGCTGTAATGTGGCTGAAACGATGTCACCCTGGTTACTGCCAGTAATGCCAATAAAGGCTGTTAGAGGTGGAGGGGTGAGCACAGTCATCCGTAAATGTGTGAACGGGTCTTTCCGTGCTCAAGACTTCCCATCTATCCGTGGGTGAGTTCCCCTGGTTATGTGGATGGAAGGCAGAGGGGCGGTGATCACGCCTTGAACGCTCGAGGGAATCCGCTACAGCCAGGAGCAAATAGGCTGTGAGGATGGAGTGCTAATAAGCTGCTATTTCCCCACAAATCCTGAACACGTATATGAATGCAGAGGCAAATAGGCAGACAAACATACCCACACACAGACATTAATATACTTCTCAGAACACTGTACATTTCTATCTTGCGTCTGCAGCAGTCGTGAGTATGAAATGATACCAATAAATTATTCAGACGTGTGAGGGAGAGAAAGAAAGTGTTCTGGGGAAAAATATGGAATGTGATATGCATTTCTGTCTGCACCCAGCCAGACGAATGCACATCCATGACCGAAATGCAGCTTCACACACACACACACACACACACACACACACACACACACACACACACACAGGCTCAAACACACATACATAAAAAACCAGACAGAGAAATCACAGAGAATTTAAAATGAAGCAGTAGCCAGGGAGTCTTCAATCCCCACAAGTTTTCTTCCTCTCTAAGATGAAGATCTAACCCTTTGGGTTATCGTGAAATTGCAATACTGCAGTATTGACAAGCCAAGAACAGGGGATAGCAAATGACTGCTGCAACCGCTTTGTTCGTGTTTTGCTTTTTTTTTCTTATTGTAATAGTAGAGAGTTTTTCCACAGCAGAGCAGGTAAAAGAAGTTTACCTGTTGGAGGTGAGCTGTTTGCAGAGGTGCAGTAAGAGCCTGTTGTCTGCAGCTCTTCATCAACATCTCACTGTAGCTGTTTATGATTTTACTCTTCCTCCTTGCCGTTTTATTATTGAAGAAACGCTGCTTACAAAGTTCATTTAATTTCCTATTGATTCTTCACAATGAAAGTCATCTTATCATCTTATCTGTAGCGTCCATTTTGTTTCCACATTATGACTCAAACCTCACAACAAAGTCAGAAGAATGACTTCCCAACTGAGGAAATGAGACCATTCAAGGATTACATAAATGCAGCATTAATATTAACTGATTGGTGTTCTGTCCCCTCTCCCTACATGCTTCAGCATTCCCTTTATCCAGAAGTGGTGCTCTACCATGTGCCAACATTTTTACTCCCATAGTAACCAGACGCAACCAAAGCATCTCAGTTGAAAAAACTCTGCGTCCCTTATTGCCCTTCATATTTTAGATTTGACATTGAACAAGTATTTAATTTGTTTTAAAACTAGGGATGGGAAATGATAACATTTTACTGATACCACTGTGAATAACAGGGATAGTAAATGATTGTTATTGCCATGTTTTGCCGTTGATACTTTTTATAAAGTGCTGCTGACGTGTACATGTCATATGTCCCACTAGAGGCAAACGTTATTGTGTTAGATGTCACGCCTGTCACGCCACTTTGTTTCCAGGATGCTGGCATACTGTCTACAATCACACACTAGAGCAGCATGATGCTGCTGTTGTTTGGTTCTATACAGAAAACAAAGTTTGTTTGTGTGGCACTGACGTTCTTATGACAGGATATTTACCCTCAGTAACGGACAGGCATCCCTGTGGGGAAGCAGTGGCACTTGTGCCTGTCAAATACACTCATGTCAAATACATAGCACTCCTGGAATTTAAACCCATGTTGCGCAGACAGAAGATTTCGCATAGTGCTCGTGTTTCCGACATTATTTGAAATGTTCATTGTTACAAGCTGCAGCGTTGTCATCTTCCTGATGAAGTGAAGCAACGCTTTGGAACATTCCTTCCTCTCGGCAATGACTCCTTATTTTTGCAAGGTTCCAGCAGTGTAGATGTCTCAGTTTGACTTCACTGTTTTGCAGCTCTTAGGACAAACATGCTGGCATCAATTAAAGGAATTAGGAAGTTTAGAGGGATACAATTCCGATGGATCTTACAATTTGGAGCCTTTTCTCAACAGGAGCAGGCTCTCAATTCCCATTTGTATTTAAACTGTATCATCTTTGTCATTGCTAAAGCTAGATATAATAACCTAACAATAAAGCCTTATTACAAAGTACTAAATCATTGCAGGGGAAATTCCTTCACAGCCTCACTAACCCTTATCAAAATAACTACACTTGACTCAATTAAAGGAGCTCCCCAAATGTAGACTCCCAAAATGAGTCATACTACAGATGTCTGACTCATGGTTTTTTAAGTGCTGCCAGCATGAACTGCTGTTCATGTAGGTATATCTGAAAAGGAAAAGAGGCTGAACATTTTCTACCATCTACACAGATCAGCACTGATTTCTGCAGAGATCCATCATTTCCAGCATCCATGAATGATGCTTCATTTGCATAGTGGGCCATGCCAAATCTGTCTCAGTGCGAGCCAGCTCTCAGAGGAGGAAACACTGGCTTTTGAATTTGAATCAGCGGATGTTTGAAAATCAGTGGACAGCCACTATCTCAACAGAGACAGAAGGGGGGAACAGGGATGAAGAGGATGACTCAAACAAGCTGCGGAAATGTGTGACACCAGCAATCAATGCGAATAACTGTGTGTACACACACGAGCAAAAACACACAGAATGTTATATAAAAGAGGAAAAGATGAAGAAGGGGGGAGAGGAGAGGGCGGATGGATCATGGGGAGAGAGAATAAAAAATTGAAGAATGATCCAGAAAAAGGGGTGAAAGAATATTTTTTTCCACAATTCAACAGAGGATGTGATGGTGTGAGTAGCAGCACTTGGCCAAGATGTCTCTTTTGTTCACAGTCTGGGTGTGACACACACAAACACACACTTTTTCATTAACTTCCAGCTTCGGAAGTCGTTACTGGGCATGAACAAAACCTCTGACAAGCACAGCTTTTTTTCACCACAGTCAGCTAACAACTACGTGTCTCATTCTTAGGCGAGTGTGTGATCCATTTCTAGGTGTTTCTGTGCTTAATTAACTAAAAGGTCTGCGTATTGATCGGCTTGCAGTGTGAGTGAATTATGAAAGAAGACGGCGAGCTTGTTCATGTGAAGGTGCCAAGTGTGAACTTGACTAAGTATGTGTTCTTCTGTCTAGTTAAATTGATTAACACTAGAAATCAAGACAGTACATCAAAGTAATGACTTTGGGATTTAGCTGCAACAGTCTGGATGTAAAGAAAAATGGAAGTGCTTTTTGAAAACCAGTAACAGCGTGAACAGAAACGAGGATGCCCTTGATATGAGTAAATACATGCATAAGGTCCAATCCCACTTCTCATTTTTACCCCAATTCCTTGTTTTTAAGTGCCCTTTGTCCCTCAGAACAGATTTACAAAAGGTTGTGGTTGAAATCTTCCTCTATGGAACTGGACAGCCCTTGAAGACCCTGATACGTCATCAGTAGTCATCAATGGCTTTGGCTGCCTTTGCAGCCATCTTACTGATGATCTGTCATAACTCAGTTTAGAATGTGCCTCTAAAAAAAACTCAGTTTGGAGGGCCATGTAGCCCTAACGCTTTGCCCTACCCTAAGATGTGAACGTGCAAAACAAAGGGGTAGGACTAAATGGTTGGGGCAAGGGGTGTACTGGGATTGAGCCGAACACGCTTGCCTTCACTAAAGTCTATTCTGTTTATACAAAACAACTATGAGGAATTTATTTTGAGATAATGACCAATAAATGTCTTACTTTGACGCCGTGCCCCACATCATCCAGCAATGTGTAGTCAATGGGCTTTCTGATGTAGCGCACCGGCCGCTCCATGTTACCCGGGGCGATGATCTTGTGGGTGCGAGAGGTGTTCTTATTTGTGGTCAGGATGCCGATCTCTCGACGTGCCACCTTCTCCTTATGAATATCCACTGTCTGCAAAAGAGAGAAATGAAGGGTGACATGAGTAGTACAACAGACTTTTAGGGTTTACCTCTCTTACAGTAAATACTTAAAATTGACTAAATGTATTGCATTTGTTTTAAGACAGGTTATGTTTCATGAGATATGCATGATTTATAATTTCCCTGGTTATGTGAAGAGATAAGATCATGTTTTACTAAAAGGTCTCACCAGTGCCTGTAACACTAATTTGCTTTTAATGCAAACCTAATACATCCTCCATCTGTTTCACATTAAAAGCGTCCCAGGACCTCAGAGGGCATTTTCACCTCACTCCCCTTTCCTGGTGAAATTTTACTATAAAATACCTGCAAGAAGTGTTTGATTTCATAACAGCAACTAAATTTTGCAAGAGCACAACAACGGTTTTCATAGAATTTTTCAGAACACATTGTAAAACGGTTGGGAACAGGAACAACAGGAACAACACGGTCACACTTAAAATATAAGAACATCTGTGGAGTCCCTCAGGGCTCCATTTAAGGCCTCTTTTTGTTGTCCCCGTCATGTTATCATTCTCTTAATTAAGCATATTTATTATCACAGTATGTTAGGGCTGCACCCAACTCAGCATTACGCCAGTCAAATTGGATTTGTCTGTTTAACACGAATATTCCATGATTCCTTCCTTTTCGTTCCATTTGCATTTGAACAGGGCTCAGCAGGACGTTCAGGGTGACAGTGATGTTCACTTTATATAGTAAATGAGCTAACTACATTAACCACAGACTGGAAATGTGCAGCAACGTTTTCTGCCAACAATACATATTAAAAAAAAAGCCAGAGATTGTATAGTATTAAGTTCCTGTGAGCAGTAAATTCGACACTTCTAATCAGAAAGCAAAAGATAACATTATCTCAGAGCCTGACGGGCCAAAGCCTCTCTTACTCTGGGCAGCTGTCTCCGTGTCCCCACCCTCCTATACTGATGAGCAGAGAGAAAGCCAAGACAGTCACTCTGCAGCTAATAATGGGGACCGAAATGTCCGCAGAAGCACACTGCACACTGACTTACAAAAAACAAGCAAAAAAAACCCTTCAACTCATCTCGAAGGAATCGCAGTTAACCGTCTCCGACGGATGAATTCAAATCTGACTTTCAGGGGGCAGGCCTACTATATGTACTATTTATTAAAGTATATGTGCTATATATATGTGTGTTTACTGTTATTTAAACCCAGTGAATATTTGAGTGCACAATAAAACTATACGCCCATTTAAACCTTGTATTGACAGGCAAGTAGACAGGTGACACATCGCTGCTCAATATGTGCCTATAATGTGTCTCCAGCGGACCACTTACTGCCTATATAAAGCTACAAGGTCAAAGGGCCCTGCACAGAGTTAGTACATCTACACTCCCTCTAGCTGCTCTCTAGCATGCTTGCTTATCACATTAGCGGCTGTGTCAGTACAGCTGGAGATATTGATATCAGCAGAATTCGACTTGTCTCCTTCCATAGAGCAAAACGATGGACGGTCACCCAACACTTTGTCCAAGTCATTGTAAAATGGTATAGAGTCAGCATGCTGTCACCAAAGCAACCACCACATCCTGCAGTGATGATGTAGTATTTGTTGGGGACGCATCAAGAGATGCATCAGTGTTTACACATTAGTGTGGTTTGAGAGATTGAAACACAAGGCGTCTTGCTGGTTGTTTTCACTTGTTTTTAGCGCTGTCCACTTGTGATCAGAGACCCGAGACGTATGTTTTAATTTAATACCTGCCTCGCTTTAAAATTACAGTGAAGCATTTCATACCTTGACCCTTTCAGTCCATGTTGTGTGACGTCTATTAGCAACACGAAGTCGCAAAATTAAAATGTATGTATGTATATTTTAAATCTCCAGACGTCCCACTGCGTGGACACACACACTGGGTTGATCCTTTGAACTTCACCTGACCCACTATTCTGCTCTATTGGCCTACGCCCTGGGGCCCATTTCTCCTTTAACCCCTCGCACCAGGAGCAACTGAAAAAATCAGTGACCTCCATTTCTTCTGCGATTACTGTCATTATCGCTCACAGCACCCATCCAAGCAGGCGCCTTAGCTCTGGCCTTCAATTTATGAATGATTGATGTAACTGGAGGGAGAGAGGGATTAAAAGAGGGAGGGGAAGCTGAACGAAAGGTGGGGAAGACTGAGGGAGGACGGACAGTTTTATCTCTGGAGTATGAGGTCACTCTTGGGATGTGCGAGTGTTATTAAGGCTTGTGAGACATATATGAATCCATGACTGTTGTTAATCACGATGTACATACTGTACTTCTTCTTGCTTTGGCACATACTAGAAATTAAGGAGTGTGCGCATGCATGTATACGCAAGTGCATGTTTTTTAAGTAGATGTGTGCTTGTGTGTGTGTGTGCGAGACCCTCACAGCAACAAGGTCACGCATCAATCACCACTCAGCCATCTCATCCAGCTGACCCGACAGCTCCACCGCTGCCACCGGCTCTCTCTGAGTGCTGGAGATGATGAATCCAACTGAGAGACTGAAAAGTCTGATAGGTGTCGTGAAGTTGACCTGCACCCTCCCAAGCTTCTGTGCATTACTGTCTCTGTGTCTAGTCTGTGTGCTGCATGTGAGATATATATAGAGGACATGCTAGGCTCTTTTTTTAGGAGAGGAAACTGAAGCGACACGCCCGGTTTCAGCTGGGAAATAAGAAAAAAAAAAAAAAAAGACCCGCCTATTTCCTGCCAGTGATAGGCGAGTAGAGGTGGAGTGCAGATTAGTGAAAGCGAGAACAACAAAACTCAGAAGGACATAAAGCCACAGACAGTTTGAGATAAGACAAGACAGAGAGAAAATACTGTAGGTGAAACTAGAAGCTGATTCTGGTGGGCTGTCATGATCAAAAAGAAACAGAGACGCAAGTACAGTGGGGAGGGGATAGATGCTGTGAACATTTTTAGGCTCTGCATTTAAGCTGACATCATTTAAAATGTACCAAACAACAAACACTGTCACAGCCGATCCTGTGTCTCTTTACCGTAACACCACTAAAGAATCATTCTTGACAATGAGGAAATATTGAAGCAGTGGTGCAGCAAGCATGAACACATCTGTAAGTGATGACTGAATCCTGTCAGCTGTATTTCAGCATTTCCTCTACATGTACATTACAAAAAGGAAGTTACATGAGGTAATCTCTATGAAATGTCCAATAAATGTTACCTAATCGTTGACGACAGACTTGTGTCTGCCCTTCCTGTGCTCTCTCAATCTCATTTTCTTTTGTAATCTCTTTTCTCTAATAAACATCTGGCTATCTGCTCAGCCTCTGCAGTGAGTTTCTCAGAGCAGATGGCACCGCTGTAAAGTTCACTGCTGGATCCATATCGTAGTTTCAGCCCAATATATCTGCATTTGAGCAAATGTTGAGTCTCTGAAGTACAAACGAAACTAGCTGTACATATTTTTTAAGTCTTGTTGAAGTGTTACTGGCAAGAGGAAAATATTATGTAGTCTGTGTTGAGACTCCAAGGCGTGACAGCAGATGTGTGATGTCATACATCAATGATCTCATATATGGCTTAATGACAAGACTACAAATTCAGCCAGCTATGAATGAAATCTCACAAGTGTTCACATCTGTTTCACTATCGTTTTTTAAAATTTACACTAGGATTCAGTGCTGAATTTGGAAGTTTGAAGGCTACCGACAGAATTAGGGTCGTACTAGGATTGGGTACTGAAACATGGTGGCGGTACCCACCTGACCAAATCACAACGCAAATTTCAGTGCCTCGTTTTGTTTGGTGCTAAATTGTGTGATGTGCTGGTGCAGAGAGTATTAAGTTAAACGTTGCTGTGCAGTGTGTTAACAGTTTAGGCTATTAGTCAGCGAATAAATGCTCCTCAAGACCTAAGTCAAGTTCTCGTGTCTTGCTTGTCGCCTGCTTATCAGCAGTGTCAGGAGAGTGAAGGAGGTTAGCCCTGAAGTTAGCCTCCCATTTGAAACTGACCCAGCTCATTTAGGATGGACTGTTGAGGTGGACCAGCTATTCTCATTGCTGTTACAATCTCCTTAACAGTTAATGTAGAAGTGTCTTGCTATTGAGTCTCTCCTGAGTTTGGGAGACAATTATAGATCCCAAAATCAAGATTTGTTTTGCTTTTATTAGTGTTGTAACTGTTATTTAGTGTTAAATTATTGTAGCTGGGTTACATTTTCTTTATTATGTGAATTTCATAGTATTTTGTATTCATCCATATCTAAATGTTTAGGTGTAGTTTAAACTGGTAAGAGTTAATATATTGTTCAATTTCAAGTTAAAATTTGCCATTGCATTTTAAAAAGGCTATTATTTAATCTCATTTCAGGCAGCATTAAGCACTGGTATTGGAAAACTCCCAAACAATACCCAACCCCAGTTGGTACTACCAAGTACCAATTCATGTTAGATTATTTGGTGCCTCGTTTCAGTATATAAGAGCGCGTATGGGTGAGAATGCTGGGGAGAAAAGAGCCTCGAAGTCTGGATGCCAGCCACGGAGCTCCAAGGCCAGCAATAGAGTTCCGCAGAGCTGCCGGGTTCAACTTTAGTCATGAGGCTGAAGTGCCCCAAAACTGGCTATGGAGCTCCGCGACTGCTCCGCCGACCACTTCAATGACTGCTCCATTGGCTGCTCCATCAGTCGTTCTTTCAGCCATTCCAACTATCACTGCATTGGTCTATTTTATTTTCTGTATTGCTTTAGGAACAGCCAACATCACTGCTAGACGAGCACAGGTACAAGCAGACAGACAGAATGAGACAGAAGACGCTCCATGTGTGATTAGAAAGGAGCAAAGGAACACAATTTTAGTCTACTACATCATCCCCTGCAGCTGGTTAAAAAATTACATTTTTTGTTATTACAGAGAAAGGAAAGTACTGAAAAAAATATTGTTGGGTACCAGGACTGAATTAAAGGTCCAAAGAGCAGTACTGTGTCGACTGCTATCGTAACCGCTCAAATGTGAACAGCACCCAACTCTAATTTACACTCAAGATATAATTCCAGGTACTTTCTGCCCTTGAGAGGATCTGTCCAGCTGAAATGGAGCAGAAAGAGGCACAAGTGGGTCATTGAGCTCATTAATGACAACTTCTGAGAAATAAGAAACAGACCAACCAGAGAGCAAACTGGCAAACAGCAGGACTCAAGGAGATGGAAAAGAGGAGTAAAGAGACTCATGGGAAGCTGCTCGTGTTTTGTATCGCAACAGAATCACCAGCACTGGTTTGTGTTAGCTGAACGCACATATTAAGGCACAACCATTTAAGTGAACTGATGCACACAGAGAGGAGAAATGGGCTGCAACAGCTCTGCTTTGATTAAACATGCTGTAGTTTTGCTTTTAGTAGCATTTCTTGTTGAACTCTGTGACAGCCTCCTCTGCTGTGGGCTTTTAAATCCTACAGAGATGGAGCTGGGATTTGGCAGCACATTTTTGGCTACCTCCACTTTCTAATCCCATTTTAACTCTTTCAAGTCGAAACAATTTGCACAGCCAGAAAAACACTTGGCACAACCAAGCAAGTTAAAATATAATTTCTTGGACACCAGACAAATGAATCAAAGCCCTGCAGACACACCTGTACGAGAGGCATGTTAAAGTGTCTACAGGTATCAGACGCTTAAATTTAATGCTTTTTAAGACCTTTGCAAGTTAAGTTTTAAACCCAATTTAATACTGATATTTGGACAATTTTTATTCAAGCATTGCAGGTAAGTATAAAGTTAACTACTACATATATATGTGATCCCATGCAGATGTAGGTTTAATGTAAGAATATGGTTATTAGAGTGATTTAGGTTAATCTACACTTTGCCATCAGGTATGTTCAGGTATTAAGTACAAAGACAGTATTAGATTCAGGGGTAGGTTTATTTATACAATCAGAAATGTAGACCTTCACAAAGAGCAGCTTGACACTTTGACAAAAAGAAATTAAAAGATGGATAAATGAAATTAGATAAAATGTTGGTGGCAATTAAGTTTTCACAGATCTTATTTAATAGTATTTAATGACTTTTATCAAACTGAATTTAAGACCTTTGAAGAGTTTTTAATGGGATACCATGCCGATTTTTCAACCAGCATTTTATCATAACAATGCGGGTAGTATTTGTAATGGTAAACCTCCTCCATCTCGCCAGTGCCCATATCTCCCTGTTCATCTCTCAGCTCAAATCCAGCTGATTGTTATGCTGGCTCTGTGGCTGTTGCTCAAACTACAGATTGTACTTCTGAAATTTTGTATGCCAGCTGCCCCTGACACAAAAAGTATAGAATTGGATTTCTCAAACTCAGGTTAAACTGTAAAACCAGGCGGCACTGATCAAATATAAACCTAGATTCTGTTACTGCGTTGACTTTTTTTTGTTTAACGTTTTCAGAAGCATTTTTTAGCGTACTGTTAAACTGTGAGCTTGATTAGGTGTGGTTAATTAAGTGTGATTAATAATAGGGATGTCACAAGAACCAATACTTGGGTACCAAGTTGATGCCAAATTCTGTAAATGTGATGGTTCTCATTTTTCTCCAGTATGGTAGGTACCAGGGATGCAATTTTTCTGGACCTGACAAGGCAGCATATATGCCTAAAGGTGTTCTAGTCTGCCGTTAAATGCCAAAGGAGGAAGAAGAACGCCTAACAGCACAGGACAACAAAACGTGGAAGATGTCGGCAAGTGCAGCTGCAGTTGAAAACAAAAGCATTTTTTGCCAGTGGCCAGCATATTTTAATTCTTTGCAATGGAAACCTGACTTCCAGCAACTTCCTGTATCACTCCAGTGCCCTCTAATATATGGAATTATGGCTTATTGATGGGGTAATTGGGGTGAGCCATGGTTGGGACAACACTAAATGCTGTGTTCCTATGGATGTACTGTGCCAAACTGATATTTGTGGTGCCCTGTACAATTTTCTGTTTTTTTGTACACTTGTTTTAAAGTCAATAAAAATATTCTGGAGAACACTTTGCAGTGGGATCGACTTACATTTACACTGTTACAAATGGCAGCAGCACTTGTTAACGTCACCAAGCCATCCAATCACTAATAGCCTAACACAAAGACCAGCTGTCACATCTTATATGTACAAGTGCTGAACAACAGTGGAGGAGAAATACGTTGATATATTGCTCCTCACCCACAGAATCTCATGAACCCATATAGAATGGCGGCTTTATAACTGAATTTAAATGCTTTTGTTTATTACCAGTGTATTGAAGTGGGGATCATGAATCGTGGAATTTTACTGGCACTGGTATCGATTACTAAATTTCTGGTATCGTGACATTCCTCTATACAAGGCTATATAGAGCTATTGTATTTGAAGCAGAAATATCAACCATCAACTGCCCATCTAAAGCATCAATAAAAGACTGGTTGTTCTTCATTAGACTGCACCCAACTGTACTCCATCCTGCAGCATGTGGAGTAGAGCAGGAGCTGAAAAAAAAAATGCTAACCAGGCAAGAGAGCTGGCGTCAGGATTTCACTTCATCCCTGACAGGCTTAATGAAGCACACAGGGAGGGGACGGGGACATTCACTGGCTGACAGGCAGGGTGGCCGTGTGAAGCGCACACAGAGGGAAAGAGAGACAGAGAGAGGACTGCTGATGAAGCAAGAGGGACTGAAGAGGGGCTGCGGAGGTTTGGCAGCTCCAGCACGATCCATGCCCCTGCCATATCTGTCTGTCTTTATCAAGTGTGAATGTGTCATTGTGCACTTTGAATAATACCAGCAGGTCTGCTCTTTATTGTGCTTCAAAGGGTTTAATCGTCAGATGACAGTCCTCAAAGCGCACCTTGATCCACCAATATTCTTCAATATGGGACAGAAATAAAATAATCAGTGAATTAAAACAGTATTTCAGTTAGAGATGAGAATGTGGAGGTGAATGTGACGTGACTGGTGTGGAAATGTTATCCTGGATTCACTGACTACAGGTGTTGTGGAGGAGGTTCTCTAGCAGCACTCGGAGAGACAGAGCTGCTCCTCTGTTTAATCTGTCTGTTCATTGGTCTACAGTGAGACATTGGTCTATATGTTGCATGTGCTGCGCTAAATCAGTCTGTGTGATGGATGAAATGACCGTAGTAGCACATGTGCAGCTAGCTAGCGGTGCTAGCTCCAACGCTGCTCATCTCACAATAACGTGACACAAACATGGTGGCCACTCTCCAGTCTTCCCTAGGTAGCCCCTTTGAGTAAGTGGCTTAATTTTTTATCCACAAAACCCCTTTAGCATTGTTCCGACCATGTTAGCACCACTAGCTGCTGCTAACGGTGCTAACAGAGCTAACAGTGACAACATAGAAGGGGGTTTGTGGCTCAAACTTGAGTCGCTTACTCACTGGGGCAGCCTGGGGGGAAACTGGAGGGTGGGCACAATGTTTTTACAGCAATGCTGTTGGGTCAAGGTGGTGTTAATAGCAGTGATCACTGATTGAGCAGTGCCACCAGCTAGCTCCAACCAGACCCAGGTGGTGTGCAGTGCAGTGAACTGAAGAGTAGCTAAATTAACCTATCAACCAACATGCATAACAGGTCTATCCTCCGGCACTGTGGTGTGTACCTGGGAGATGTGGTTGATGGAGGACTCCATGCGTCGTAGTTGCGAGGCCTGGATGTCCAGCAGCTGCAGCACATTGTTAGCTAAGGCATTGATCTGGTAGGCCACACTGGCCAGAGACTGGGTGGTGTAGGCCTTGGTCTCCTCCAGGGCCTTCTTCTTGTCTTGAGCCTGGCAGAGAGGAAAGAAGGACACAGAGAGGAAGAGAAAACACCAGTCAGAAAGATCAGTGGAAGGATGTGTGGGTGGAAGAAAGTTGGCAGAGGGAAGTAAGGTATAATCTCCAACATAAAAAAAAAACTCAAGAGGCAATGCTGCACTCTCATTGTTACTCCAATCAGCTGTGTGAGCGGGGAGTGAGAGGGCAGCTTTCTACAGGGAGCTGTATTTGACAGGACAATTCATTCTCACAAAGCCCCGTTAAGATCTAAAAGGACATGAATAAGAGTTCATGATTCTCTGAGGGAGCAACTTTGTGGATGCGAAAGCAGCCTGGAATTGGACAACAATAACTTCCAAATAGCTCGGATGGTCAACAGGGGACAGGTGCAGGGGAGTTGAGCCCAGTGAGCAGGAATGCCAAGACATTTTCTAGGATCCCAAATCTCCACCGGGCTGCGCAAACCATCTGTTTCTGGATGCCTTTAAATAGCGAAGGGACTGAATGGACATATTTATAGTTTGGAAACAAAACAGGGATAATGCTGCCACACAGAGAGCCACACCAACAGGGGACTGCCAGGAATCTAGAAGCAGGATTATTTTCAACTATTTTCTTTTTGTCATTGATAAATTCCTCATTTAGTTTATAAATCGTCCTAATGCCTACCACATTAGTTTGTTTTACCAAAAGCCAAAAAAGCCCAAAGGTTCTCAATTTACACACACATTAAATAAGGTGATAAATATGCAAATCTACCATTTTACCAGGGTTCCTACAGCTTAAGGCAAGTTTGATTTAAGACTTTTTAAGCCTTTATTATGCGACTTGGAATTAAATCTAATACCAATTTTACAAAAACCAACACTGAAGAAAAAAAAGAATTACTGAGGGGTTAGGGACAATTTTGCCCAAATGTTTGTTGTAACATAAAATATGACTTTTTTGGTCCTGTAAAAATGAACAATGTTGGACGATCATCTTCAAACGTTGGGGAAAAAAAACATTTTGTAGAGTAAAACAAGTGGAAAACAATGAAAATATTATATATGACTAATATGTGTTAATATGTGTTTTGCATAAAATACTAAAACACAGCGAGCCGTGTATGCATTGCCTTGTATCAGTTTCAGCCATGCTGCAAAAAAAAAACTGGTTAAACAGCCAGTTTTATTTGAATATGCACCTCTCAATGTCGTCCAGGGTACAGTGACAGCTAGCTAGCAGAGCGTGAATCATCTCCTGTGAGTATCCCAACTAGAAACAAAAATTAGTGTTGTTGGTTCGAATATTTTATTTTTATTTTTATTTTTATATAGGTATTGCCAAGTATTTTCACAATTTTGCATTTTGAAAGATTGTTTAATCCATTTTAATACTAATTAAGGCCTTACTTTTAGATTAATTAATTCCACTCCTTTTAATTAAGACCTTTTAGGGATCTGCAGGAACCCTGTTTAATATGTTGTCCTAAAAACAGTCAAATATAAAAATAGCCATTGCTTAATTTCTTTCAGTCAACTCATATATGAATTGGCTAATCAAGTCAGCACTAGTTGTTTCACATCCTTCCTCAGACTACAATGCAGATTATTCACTGAGCAAGAGGAAGCTGTCCTTTAAAAATGGGCTGTATCACTGTTGTGTACATGTACAGTACAGGCCAAAAGTTTGGACACACCTTCTCATTCAATGCGTTTTCTTTATTTTCATGACTATTTACATTGTAGATTCTCACTGAAGGCATCAAAACTATGAATGAACACATGTGGAGTTATGTACTTAACAAAAAAAGGTGAAATAACTGAAAACATGTTTTATATTCTAGTTTCTTCAAAATAGCCACCCTTTGCTCTGATTACTGCTTTGCACACTCTTGGCATTCTCTCCATGAGCTTCAAGAGGTAGTCACCTGAAATGGTTT